GCAAATATCGACATTGACGCTACGCAGTGAGTTTTGATGGTTGATGCCTGAAACTGTGGCCTAGATACCGGATGAGTTGCCGTATAGAGAGGGTGGAGCAGGAGCGGCTGATCAACATTTGCGAGCTTCTCACCGAGCGCATCGACGAATTCATAACCGTGGGTTTATTTGTTTTTTCGTAAATAACAAGGAGCTGTTTTGCGCATTCGATAGAGCATGAGATCCTGTACAGTCTGCCCTTTTAAAGGCTTCCGAAATGAATGGTTTTCGCGGAAAATTTGTCATGGTTTGTCTTATGGTAAACCTGGGCCAAAATGGACAAAAGCGGGCATTTCCTAGCCGATTTTGAATATTTTTATTGTTTAAAGATATTTAAAAGCAATTAGTTTTGTTTTTCCTCAGTTTATTGCTGTCTTTCTTCCGATAGTTCTGAGAATTACGAGCTTTATCGTACACATTATTATTACCAGAAGACACCCCCACCCACATGAAAACGAGGCTTTTAGAACAACAATAACAAGAAGCCAAAGCACATTGTCATCTACCGCGATGGCGTCTCGGAGACCGCGTTCAAGCGCACTTTCTACGAGGAGCAGGTACACTCTTTTTTCTAACTGAGGGTTTTGTTTAATTTCTAAGATAATAATGTTTTTCAGAAATCCTATCAGAATGCGCTGGCTCGACTGAACATGGAGGGGCCTGATAGGCCGACGTTGACGTACATTGTGACGACGAAGCGCCATCACACCCGGTTCTTCCCGGGGTACGATGCAGATAACGTGCTGAGAAGCGGGTGCGTCAATTCAAAACTTCCATAGCAGCAGTTTTAGCAAAATTCAAAGATGTCTCAAGAGCAAATTTTCTCGTAAATCTATCCGCTTATCGAAAATCTATATTTTTAATGAGTTTTTAGTATATTTTAAAATCATGAATTTAGAATTTAGAATGTAAAATTTAGAGCCACTAAAAGACAGCATAGAAACGATCTTAGAAGATAGTTAAATAGAAAAATGGGCCCTCTTCAAAACACGTTTTTTTCAGGAACTTCCGGCCTGGGCTGCTCGTCGAAGATGACGTCGTCAGCTCGGAATATTTTGATTTCTACATCTTGTCCCAACAAGCGGCCCTGGTTCAAATTCTCAGCAAGCTTGACGTTGCCTTTAGGGAACCGCTCGGCCGACCCACTACTACGTGCTGCACGACGAGTGGAATCCGTCTCCCGGTCACTGGCAGGTCGGTGATTTGTGTTTTATTTTTTTTTGTGGGATTTTAGTGCGTCACGTTCGCCCTGTGCCACCTGTACTGCCGGACGAACAGGTCGGTCTCGCTGCCCGCGCCCGTCTACTACGCGCACTTGGCTGCCAAGCGGGCCGCCGACTGGATTTCTGGTTATGAACGGTACGTGTTTGCCGGGTGCTTTTTCGCTTTGTCGAAAATTCCTTAGTGTGTCAAAAATTCATTTTCTAGAGCTATCAGTTTGTCGAAATTCATGTTGTCAGTCTGTCATTCAATCTCTGTGTTCAGCAACTATCTCGTGGAGGATTGCCGGCGGATGTGGAGCGTCGACCAGATCCGGGCCGATGAAAGAGTTCAGGACAAGTTGAAGGAGCAGAACACAAAGTCCAAGCTGGAAGGCATGATCTTCTGCTGAGAAAAAAAACGTGAATTCGTCCCCTCCCGCTACATTGTTAATTTTTTTGAATATTTCTCTGAAAATGAACACTATTAGTGTCCCCCATTTTCATTCTGTATATATTTTCCGTTGCCGATGACTTGCAATTGTCCGAATTTCGAGCAATTTCGATCTAATGATCTAATGATGCTGGCTTTATCCTTGCGGGTGGTCCTTTTTGCCGGTAAATAAAGTTATTTGTTCGGCGGTTCTTGGAATTATCAGAAAAGTATGGGAAAGATGCAAAACGTTTTTCGATCGGAGCATCCATTTTTGGCTTCGGCGGCGCGGACCTTGTTTCTCTCGCTGTCCCTCCGCTCTCTCTCCTTCCGAAACTTATCCGAAAGCATAATCCTACGTAGTTTTGCCTTTCGATTCCGAAAATCTTGATGAGAACATTTCCCACAGGGCAATTTCCCTAAAACACTCTTTGAAGTCTCTACTATGCACTTCGGTACCGATGCTGTAACATCTTTCATTTCTGCAGCCTATGGCGTAGGCATAATTTTTCCTTGCCAAGAAGGTAGGCACTCAGATTTTCGAAACTCATATTCTCGAAACTCACATTTTCGAAACTCATATTTTCGAAATTCATATTTTCGAAAACTCATGTTTTCGAAACTCATATTTACGAAACTCATATTTTCTTAGGTTTTCTTAGGTGACCTCGGCCTATGCAAAGCTGTAAATATTAGTTTTCGAAATTATGAGTTTCGAAAATATAAGTTTTCGAAAATATGAGTTTCGAAAATGTGAGTTTCGAAAATATGCACGCAAATCTGCCAAGAATCCTTGCCAACTTTCCCCTGTACTGCCATTTTCATAAATTAAATTTTTCTTTTATTTACCACACAAAAAACGGTCGACGGGATAAAGAAAGAAAATTGGGGAGGGCGGGGCGGGGATCGACGCAAAAAAAAACAGAAATATATGACGAATATAATCGTGTGCGAGAGAGAGAGAGTGAGGGAGAGAAAGGGCGAGTGAAAAGAAAACAACACAGACAGACAATAGAAAAATATAAAAAATATAAACGAAAAAAATTCAGGCGTTTCGGGCGGGTCCTTGCAATGCTTGGGGGGCGGGGGCGGGGCGTATGTAAATTTGTAAATTTGTGGCCACTTTGAAGGGGTAAGCGATTCTCGCGGGGCAATTTTTATAAAAATATATATAGAAATTTCTCCGGCTCCGCGGGGGGTTTAAAGGGCCGTTGAAGGGAGGGGAGGGGATGGGAGGGAGAGAGAGGGAATTAGAGAAACGGATTCCAGAATACACGTGGTCGCCGACAAATTGTTTTTAGTAGCAAAATTGGGGGTGGGCTGGAAATGAACATTTTACTGGGGCGGGAAATGGAGGATTTTGGGGGTTCGATTTTAAAGGGAGCTTCAGAATTTTGCGCTCTTTCAAAATTTGCAGCGTTAACATGCGAAAAATTGCTCCTAATTTTATTTTGCAGTTTTAAAACTTAAATTTCAACGAGAAGACCAAATTTTTTTGGAAATCATTTACTAGAATTTTTGAATTTTTATATGCAAATTGCACTAGAAAAAGCGATCGATTCCCTTTAAAATACAGTAGCGTTTACCGTAGCCCCAAGAAAATTGCAATACGCACCGGGGTGGGGGTGGGGTTGAGGGCTGGGGCCGGAGTGGTGGGATCGGATTTTGGGGTACTCTAGAGTACATTAAAATACGCTAACGTACGACGCGGTACGCTGTTGCTCGGTTGTAGTACTTTAACGTAGAGTAATATTGTAGGCCGTCGTGCGCTAAAGTATGCTAACGTCCGCTGCAGTACGATGCATTACGCTACAGTACGCTACCGTACTCCAAAAACTCGAAATTCCCACCGCCAGCAAATGTGGCTGAGCTGAAAAGAGGAGGGGAGGGAAGCCGCGCGCAGGGGTGAAAATTAAAATGCAACCGAATAAATACACTCTTTATGATGGGGAGTGGCTGGGGGATACGGTAGAGGAGAGAAATAGACGCAGGAGGAGAGGGTACGGTAGGTATCAGGGTCAGATACGGTAGGCAAGTAGGGGGGAGGAGTGCTTTGTAATAATACTCTTTTCGGGTGGTGGCTAAGGGTTGACGTGGCGGCGCTTTTTGGGTGATTTTAAAGGGACATGGAAGCTCATATTGAGGCCAAATCGTAGTCTTTTATATCGTAATCTATTGAATTTTCAATCCTGGCGGGTTGCCAATTAATGCAAAAAACCTGGTTTACTACTGTAGCAGCCATCTAAAAGCCAAAATTGGCGGTTTAAAGGGGCTGAGAGCTCAAAAGGAAGTCCGGATTATCATGTCGTAATCGTTTGTTTGCCGGCTAGGCGGCTATATAGACCGGATTTTTGTCTTAAATGGCCCTTTTAAAGCGATGTCGTAATCGATTAGACTATCTGCTTTTGCCAAAACGGGATAAACGTCCTTTAAAAATTGATCCTTATGGAATATCCTGTCGTAATCGATGAACCCTTCAGAACTTGGCAAACCACCAGGTCTTCCGAGAAATAAACGGACCTTCCGATCAACTCCATTCCCCTAAAAGCCACCCAAAAAAACGCCAAATTACCGTAATCTCCCCCAGAAATCGCAGGGAATCCATAGATTCCCAGGGGGCACCTAGTGGCAGCGAGGTGAAAGCGAAACAAAAACGTTAAAGCTTATTTGGAGGGGGGTAGATTAAAGTAAAATTCCAAAAATTGACTAAAATTAGCGTCAAAAAATTGCCACTGGGTGGGTTGGTGGGAGTAAAGCTATGCGCGCGACATCGTCTTAAAGGTCTCGGAAATGGTCTTAAAGCCTCCAGGGGGGAAATGTGACCTTATAGGGACATTCAAATTAGCATAAGGGGGACCGGAAAACAAAATAGAAAATGGGGGCTCTGGCAGTTTTGCGAGGGTGCGCAGGGTGGGCGGGGGTTTAAAGGGACGTTGAAGGGATGGAGGGTGAGGGCTTAGGCTTAGGCTTAGCTTAGGCTTAGCTTAGGCAACCTTACCCATCCCTCTAACCCCTCCCCGCTTCGCGGTCCTTTAAAGGGGCAAGAAACTTTGGAAGTGGTGGTCGGGGGGCCGGGCCTGGGGGAAAGGGGCGGGGCCAGCGTACAAAAAGGGGGCGGGGCCGAGGAGATGAGCAATAGCGATAAGGAGAACTCAGCACATAATACGGGGAAGAGGAGGGTAGGGTGGGGGAGTGGACTAGATGGCAAATTTGGGGTGATTGAGAGTCGGTGGTGGGCACCAGGGCTAAAGGGAGCGTGCCAGCTGGGGCAGCCTCTAGACCCGGCGGAAGTGGTGGTTGGGGTATAAAAAGCCCGGGGCTACAGACTACAACAGCTCGTACTGGCGCAGATGGATCCGCTGGATGATGTCGCGACAGTCGTTGAACACCCGCCGGATATTCTCCGTGTCGACGGCACATGTGAAATGGGGGTAGCAGTGGTGTCGACCGTCGCCGGCGGCTGTGGAGATTCGCTAAAATTTTGGGATTGATGGTGAACACTTTTCCTAAAGAATTTCTGCTAGCCTGCCCTGCACTTTTACAAAGATCTCTGCAAGCCTGCCTCTGTTTCCTCAATATTCTCTGCTAGCCCGCTCTCTTCGTCAAAAATCTTTGCTAGCCTGCCTTTGCTTCCTCAAGAACCTATGCAAGCCTACCCTTGCTTCGTAAATGATCATTGCTAGCCTGCCCTGCCTTCCTCAATAATCTCCGCCAGCCTGCCCTCGATTCCTCAACGACCTCTGCTAACCGGCCCTCGTTTCCTCAATGTTCTCCGCTAGCCTGACTATGTTTCCGCAATAATCGTTGCTAGCCTGCCTCGCTTCCTCAATGATCTCTGCTGGCCTGCCCTCGGCTCCTCAATGATCCCTGCTAACCTCCCAATTCCCAAAATTTCTCCGCTAGCTTGCCCCAAAAAACCTACCAGAAATTCGCCTCGGATGAAGTACTTGGCCTTGACGACCTTCGTATCATCCGCTGGATCGTAAACAGCATCGGAGGGCAGTTGGTAGTTGGCAAATTCCGGAAAATAGTCTTCCAATTTGTACCTTCCCGCCTTGATCTTTTCTGCTAGTAGATCCTGAAAAAATAAATAATTAGTACCACGAGAAAAGTTTGCTAGAGTCAAATGTTGACGCGGTTGGCGCAAACGTCGCTGCTAGTTTGCCTTCTGGGGCCAAAGTGAGCTAGCAAAGATTCTTTGCGGAAGCTTATCAACCGGAATGTAATGTTTTGTCGAAAATCGGTTCCAAAAAGATCTGTGCTAGCTTCCCTTTTTGGAAGCTATGCGGCAACTTGGCAGAATTTTTTGGTGAAAAAGTCGATGTCATTTTTTGAAGTTTAGCCTAGAGTTTTGCTTCCGAAAAATCTCTGCTAGCTTTCCTCGCCTCACAGGCAAACTAGCGTAGATTCTCGATAAAAATTACGAAAACCCACCTGTTTATTCAAGAACAAAATCACGGAAATCGTCTTCAGCCACCGGTTATTCCAAATATTCTTGAACAGCGCCAACGACTCCCGCAACCGGTTTTGCGTCGAATCCTGCGCAAAAAGAGTCATTTAAAAGGCGGCCAAAGGCAATGGGCTACCTCCCAGAGCATCATATTATAAGACGCCGAGCAGCAGACGAAGATGATGGCCGTGACGTCGTTGAAGCACTGGATCCACTTTCTCCGCTCGTCCCGCTGACCGCCCACGTCGAACATGCTGCAGAAAGTGGTGGGTATTTTCAAGATATAAAAGTTTAAGATATATAATGAGTATTTAATCTATAAGAGTTTAGGGTATATAAAATCTTTAAGGATTTAATAAAATAGCTTAAGCCGGGTCCCCTTAATTTTGGATTTAAAGGGACGAGAAAGGCTTGAATATCGTGAACCTTTTATGGACTTGAATCGTCTTTTCTTTGCGTAATCAATTACGACACAAAAATCCGCGAAAAATATAGCTTTTTGAACACGTTTGGCCATTCCAGAATTTTTGCAGTTCGTAGTCAGAGCTGGCAAGGGAGTCTGACAGTATAGGAAGTCAAAAATTTAATTCTTGAATGATACTCGTTATCCAGTCCGTTAAATCCGATTACGCCACATGTTTCAGGATTTAATGGGAGTATGACATGAAGGAAAATATTATCTATCAAGGTTATTGCGAACCGCGAAACCCGAAAACTTCGAGGTGCTCCGATTCAAGGTAACTCGAGGCTTAAATGGGTTGCGACAGTTGACAGGGCTTTGAGATAGAGCTGAACCGGAAGCGTTTAAGCCCTTCCGATTACGCAATGAAAAATTATCCAATTACGCAATTAAATCACGGATTTAAGGAAGCGTGGCAACAAGAGGAAATTGAAAAAAAGCAAGAAAAACTCACTGAAATCGGACTTTGTCCACCTCGAACTTTGTCTCAAAAATACCCGTCGTCATCACACGACACCGCAGGATGTCCTGAAATAATTAATTAATATAAAAATATTTTATGCCGCTCATACCTGCTCGGAAGGGCTGTACTCCGGTTTCCGCACCGATTCCACCCGGTCCAAAAAACTGAAACGGGCAGGATTTAGATACTTTTTATAAATTAACAAAAACTGCATTCAATTACGGTATGAATCTGCCATTTAAAAATATAAAATCTGGTCCAAAATAGCAAAAAAACCGACTATTTGGCGCAGTCGATGAGCTGGTACTCGGAACTTCGCTCGAACGTGGCCCTTACCCCCCGGTCATTCCAACACTTTATCACGTGGTCGTAGAATTCCTGAAATTGCTCGTAGCGTACAGATTTGTTTTTTCCTAAATGGTTCCTGCTAGCCTGCCTGCCCTCTAAAATTTCTTGAAATTCCCAGAGGACCTCTGCTAGCCTGCTTGGCTCAAGTGACCCCTTTTCCTTAAAAGTATCTGTCAGCTGATTCGGCGGGAGGCAACCAGTGCTTCCTAGATGCTCTCTGCTAGCCTGCCCCTTCTTATTTTTCGTTCCTAAAGGTTCTCTGCTAGTTTGCCAGCTCCGAGCTAGCGTTAATTTTAAAACGGCCCCTGCTAGCTTGCCCTGACACGAACGCCCTATAAATCTGCTGATACCTGTTCGCCTTTTTTGTCAAAAATCTTTGCTAGCCTGCCGGTAGAAGGGTAGTAAGCGTATCCCAACGTATTCTAATCCTTTGTCTTAAAAACCCACTTGAGGGTAATCAAATTCGGGGTCGGCTGCTGTCGTGAGTAGGTAGTCGCGACTCGGCGTATTCGCCGGATCGTCGATGCTCACTTTCGGGTCGATCTCATCCATCGCATGGAGGATCACCTGAAAAATTCAGCATTAAAGTATCGTTAAAGTACCATTAACTACGTTAAAGGTATCGTTTCGCTGGTAGTTTTAGTTTTAAGTTAGTAATATCAGTTGGCTTTCATTTACGCTATTATTACGGTTATTTTTCCGAGCACCTCCTCAGCCTTTCTGATCCGGTTAAACCTCAAAACCCTTCGAAATCTGGACCCTTCATTCCAATGGTTTAGTTCACACATGGCATGCAAATTAGACGGAAGCTTGGCGACTACACGACACTACTACACACACGTGACGGAACACTCCAATTTACGGACCAGCTGCGCCACGTGTAGCACGTTTTTACACAAAGGAGTGGGGCTAGCATAGCATTTGCCATGTCATGAAATATTGTATGCAAATTAGTAGTGATCTGTTAGTATAAGATTTCAAGAATATATTTCCGAATTATGGGTATAAAACTGGTATTAAAAGTCGATATGAAAGACCCAAATCCCTGAAATTAACAAAATTTGCATAATCTGCATAATATTTCTAATCTCTCACACCCCTGCACGCCCCTTGAACATTCTAAAAATAGCGCTCTTGCCTCGATTTGGTGGGCACCACGTGGCTGGAGTAAACCCTGGGCCCTCAGATTGGCCCCGATTTCCCTGGCCATGGCACTGTACAGAAGACCACGAGGGTCTCGCTTTAATTTTTCGCTTTTTTTGCCTAGCAGACCCCTGCGGATGCATTTTTGTACAGGCCAAAAATAGAATGCGTATATTTTCCCGGGTGCACGAAACAGGCCGCACAAAAAAGGCGAGACACCACATTCGGCTGGGGTCCATGATTCAGGCCATTCCGAAGTCGGAACCACCACCAAAATAGGGGCAAATGACTGTTAAAATTAGAAAGAGACACTAGATGATGTCAGGTTAATGTTGAAGAGATCCTGGAGAGATTCAAAAACCTTGGAGGCACTACGAGGTACACCAAAAACCTTCAAAATCCGGCAGTATGCAAAATCGGATCTGACCGGAATTTTGGCCACAAATCCGTCACATTCCTAACTACAGGAATACTCAAGCTCAAGCTGCAATACTCTAAATCAAAAGAGATGTAAAAACAAACGTCATTTTCCGTATCTTACAAAAATGAAGATCATATTTTTGTCATAACTTTTTAAAATGACAATTTGGCATCCAGATAGTGCTTTGATTTTCGAACGTACGTTATAAATTCCAAGACAATTGGATAGAAGACGAGAAAAATTGGAAGGACTTTTCGATGGATTCGTAAGAGAGCAGGAATGAGTTTCGGAAAGCCTCGTTGCGGATAAAGCTAATTAGAAGATGAATTGAATCTCCATTTTGTAGATTTCGCTCCTAGTGGATTTGCGGAATTCAGAAAATAAGCTTTAGGTGCCTGGCGTTGTCTAGCATGTTTAGTTGCAAGGTATGGATCTGGGCAGAATTTAACTTAAAGGGCAGAATTTAAGTTAAAAATTCCGCAGAAGCTTGCACGTCGATTAGGGAGACAGGGAGGAAGTTGTATGCTAAGACAGTCAGACAGTTCGATAAGTCTCAGTGAGCCGATAATGTTCTAGATTGAAATCTTCTAAATTCATGAAGTTATGGGAAAGTTATGGGTGTCCAAAATTCAAAAAAATTTTGGTTTTTCGGGAAAATTGTTTTAGGTCGCCTAACCTGATACGTTTAAATTTTAGACACTCGAAGGTTCCGCCTGACAAAAAGCTGCTTGAGAGCTAGAAAACGCTGCAAGAAGTATATAAATTTAATTATGCATAGGACTTAACATGCTTTTCAAAAATTTTGCCTCAATGCATTCTAGCTTTTACGAATTCCTTTCCAGATTTCATCATTCATTCAAATCTCGCTGTATTTCCGCGTACTTCAGCCTTTTTCTACATTTCGCTGGTTCTTGTTGGTTCCCCCGCCTTTGCCCCCCTTCTTCTCCTCCTCGTCTAGTCATACGTTGTGGTAAGGAGGTGGAGGGTTGGCTGGGTTTTTGGAGGGAAAGGGGGGAGGCTGTGGCCGAGGCCCGCAATAAAGACGAGAGCCCTCCTTCTTTTCCGTCTTTTCCGCCTCTTCCTTTGGCTTTTCGCTCTGTTTCTCAGCCCCTCTCCCCTCGATCCGCTTCCATTTGTTGCTAAAAATAGCTGGGCACGGGCCCGATATGGGCGCGCTCTCTCCCCCGCTGCCAGTCTGGCCGCCCCGTCTTTTTGACTTGTCATCTCGGGGCTCTCCTCGTTTCCGCCGCTCTCTCGCCGGCTTAGCCTCAACCTCACCGGGGGTCTACACACTGCTCTGGCTCGCAGCCTTTTTCGAGTCTTAAAAAGGAGACAAAAAGGGGCGCTCAGGTCTGCAATGATACCGGTTGCCGCTAAAAATAGATGCCTGCAAAATTTGGGTGGGAAATTTGGGTTGGGAAGGTATTTAAGTGGGGTAAAAGGAATGGCAAAAAGAAAAAACCGTCCAAAAGATTTGATGAAAAAGATAGGAAGCTAGCAAAGAGTGTTTAGGAGCGCATCGAACCTCGAATACAAAAAAAAGCAAAATAAGAGACATCTACTCGGAATTTCACGGAATTTTCGGCTTATGTACGGTTAAGCGGAAGCCACAAACCCTCGATCAAACTTAGGTTTCGCTTAGGATTGAGCTTGAGCGTATGCCTATGCTTAGGCTCACGAAAAGACCGCTATTTTTCAAGCGTCTTGTTTAAAGAACGAAAAGCGCTAGATCGGCCCTCGAAACCCTGGAATTTCCAAAATTCCTAAAAGTCCTAATTGTTTTGGATCTCACACCTTTCCACCCTACTCCCACCTTACAAATCTGGACCGGACCTTTTCAGCCTTTCCGAAAGGTCTAATCGGCAGCCACCCCCACCCTTTTCCGGGGCAATTTCCAGAATTTCCGGTGTCAATAAGGGCCCCTCCCTGCCCATGGCTTCTCTCAAAATCCCCCCGAATTTCACTATTCTTAGCCCCGGCCAAATAATTCCTTATCTCGCAGAGGTTCGCATGCACCCCGGCAATTTTTGAATCGCCGATTTTATGCCCGGGCTGCAATGGGATGGGGCTGGGTCAAGTGGAATGATGGGGTGGCGGCTACTAGGAGGCGTGGAATGTATCGTAAGAAAAAGTGGAAAAAGAGACTGGAGTTGCTTTTAAAAAAAACTTTAAAAAGGGTTACAGTTTGGAGGATAATAAAGAGGGATGAGGCGAAAAACGCAATTTGAATTTGCATAAAAAATCCAGCAAGCAAAAAAAACAATTTAGCAAAAAGGACGGATCAAAAATAGAGCCTGCCACAGGCGAAAATCGGTGTGATAACACTAAAGAATACTTTTGCAGCGTTAACGAGACGACGATACGAACGTGCTTACAATAAAGGCTACAACGTTCAAATTTTACATGCCAGTATTTGGCAATATTTGAATTTTCAAGCGAATGTGCCAAGCTCGGTAACGATGGTACGCGTGAAGGCAAGCTGGGATGCGTTTTCCAGCTCTCCATAGAGCCCGGAATTTTGGCAAATGAACAGCAACGGATGTTTATAGGGATCAGGAAGGCCCATAATAAACGGGATTCGGTTCAAAAATTCGCAGAAATCTTCTCTGCTCCTTCCTGACTCACCCAACTCTCTGCTCATTTTTTTTGCATTAGCATTTTGGGTTGGCTCGTTGTCAATTATAGATCGGTCCTGATATACGCGGCCTTGCTGCTCCCTTCAAGTGCTGTGCTCAAAGGGATAAAGAAGCCGCACATAGATCAGGGCCTATCTACAATTGGCAGGTCGCGACCCGCAAAAGGTCGATGCAAAAGACCAGGTCGAGAGCGGGTCCAGGCGAGAGGAGCAGAGACGATTTATGCTAATTTTGAACTCACAACCGGCTCTATGTTTAATTTATCCGGGCCTTCCTGATCCCTTAACCGAATTCTCTAAATACTGAGGTTTTCCACAACACATTCCCGATTCCATTCCTGTACTCTGTACAAACACCTTCTCTCCTTGCCCAACAATCATGCAAAGACAGCCACCCCAAGCTGAAGCCGAAGAATGCCACCAAAAAGCACTTTATCTGCCCCCTCCCCCCCATCGGATCCAGTTTGTCCCACCCGGGGGGCACATACAGCGGATTAAGAAGGGAATGGGAGGCCGGCGAAGGATCAACCGAAAAATAGAAGCCGCCCGACAACATACATGCACAAAAACGACAACAAAAACCCATCTGCATCTGCTTCAGGCCGGCCCGTGAATTGTCGGAAATAGCCCGAAAGCCATTAGGGAATTTAATTGTTTTAATTTTAATGTTGAAAACCAGTGCCTCCAAAAATTACAGTTCTTTTCCGGAAAGCCGGCCTGAATGTATTGCTCTTGAAAAAAGGAATGTGCTCACAATTTCTAAAAGAACCAGGAAGGTTTTGGTGAATTCCACTTTTGGTGAATTGCCTACCACTAAAATCAGAATGATTTTGGCTTCATGGTTCCTTTAAAAGGGAAAAAGCAACGCAAAGAATAAAAGACAAGCAACGAAGGGGTGCAGGAAATTTACAAATTAAATCCGCAACAACAAAAACAACAAACAAAGCAGCAAATAAACGCCGGCATGCATGCAAAAAAAAACGCAAAAAGCTGGGAATAAAGCTGCCAAAACGAAAAAAAAAACACGCGTACAACGTAAAATCAGTGGAATGAAGGGGTAACCGAAATTTCCAAAAACCTGAGAGGCATAAAATAACGCACAGATTTTTTTTTGTCTTTTTGAAAACTTTTTGAAAAGTAGGATTTCGTAACAAGAGGGATTTGAAGCGGTTGGAAAAAAAGAGCATGAAAAAAAATCGGATTCCGATATCTCTAGAATTAGTACCTTCAATTAAATAAAGTCTAATATAAAAAATACTAAAGCATTTAAAAACCTGGAAATCAAAGATCAAGATCAGAATTCAACAATATCAACATATGAGGGCCAATTCCCTGAATGGGATTTGTAATGGGACTGGGAAGGCACGCGGAAAAGCTGGCGATTTTGGAAAAAATTCGAAGCGTCGAAGAATTACGAAGAAAGACAGTTATTTTTGTTTTCCCAGTCCCTTGAAGACGAAAATTGCCCCTGAAGGCTAACGGAAAAAGCTTGCACCAACCTGTATGGAGTCTTTGACATTCCGCCGAATATCCTTCATCTTCTCCTGCTTCTCGGCCTCGGTAAAACCGTTAATGTGGAGGATGCGCATCTGTTTGACGATCGTGCTCTTCCCACTCTCACCGGCGCCGAGCAGCAGCAACCGATGCGTGGCGCGCATCACCTAAACGAACGTAGGTTTCGCCGCGCCCGCGAAAGTAGTTTTCAAAGCGGGGCTTTTATTGTAGCGGAAAAGTATTATTCTTGTTCGCGGGAAGAAAATTACTCCGGTATTGCTACGGAATTTGGAGCGCTTCTAAAAGAAAAAGTAAAAAGAATTCTTTTTCCTTTCAAAAAAAGGTACAGGACCTAAAAGATTCCTGTAGCATTTATCGCATTTTTTCTAGAAAATTGTAACTCTACGCGGTTTTTCTAAGCTCTAGGTTAAAAAAGAACGCATTAGCCTATAAAAAGTGAATCAAAAATTATCTGCAAATTTGACCAAGAAAATGCTGATCCAGGTCCTCTAACCTCCTTAAAGACGTTCTACACCTCCGCACCAACCTGTTTATCCTTGGCGAGCTGCTCCTCGATCTGCTTGTTGACCTTCTTGGCCTCGCGGCCCTCGGCATCTGCCGAGGCACCCGACACGCAGCCGGGCAGCCGCATCGCCACCAGGGGAGGCCGCCTGAAAATTTGCGTGAGTGGAACTGGGAGAGAGTGGAAAAACGTGACAACTAACTTTTGGCCGCCCAGACCCGTGCCGACGAGCGACGCCTACGACGGGCAGCCAGGTGGGGCGATGAGAGCACGTAGCCGCTCACCGGTCGTAGCCTCTCTAGAAAAGATATAATGTTATTCAAATTCAAGGAGATCGACGAGAATTAAAAAAGAAACAAACGTGTAAATACGCAAAATTATGTAAGGTTTGAGCTACTCTAGCGGATCGCGTTAAAAACATCCTAATAATAATTAAAATATCGAAAACCTGGGAAAATACCCCCCCCCGCTAATGAACCAGAACCAAAAGGACATCGACAAGGGTTTCAAATGCCAAAAATGCCGATGCCCCCCGGGAATCAATGGACGCGAAAGTTGGCGCGGATGGTATTGGCCGGCTCGGCGAAGCGTCGGCCGAAATGGAAACGAAGATGTGAGCCAATTTCTTCGAATCGATGCCCTTGCGCTGACCGGCCACTCACGAAAAAACAGACCGGGGGTGAATCGTCGAATTCCCGCCCTCCCCCCACCCCCTACCATCACTCCGGTCGCTCCGAGAATGGGAATAATGGCCCGCCGAAAACAGGGTGCCGGGAACTGCCTAAAGAGTTTTGTGATCCTCGAATTTGTCTAAAGAAAAAAACTATTTAAAGGACTTCTGGTTATTACGGCGACACTCATTACGCCGAAAATCATTAGACCGACAATACGCCGACATTCAAAATGCCGACAGTAAATCGTACGCTAGCTCATCGTCGGCGTATTGAACAGCTAATGATTTTCGGTGTAAAGAAGATCGGCGTGACGATGCGATACCGGCCTAAAAACTATAAATGGTTGGTAAAATAAAAAAGGCTGAAAAGTCAGCAGACGATACGAATTAATACCTTAAGCGGGGTATCGCTGACCCCAAGAGCAATCTATATCGCTCCGCTATTCTAAAATTGTACAAACTTGATCTCAAAATCAACTGCAACCTTGTATAAGCCTTAAAAATCATTACATCAAGGTATCGCGACCAGGTTCTGATTCTGGAATGCCAACCTTTCATAGAACCCCGATTTATGCGCAGCGATCCGAGCCCGGTCTCAGACCATTATTTTACGGGCCGAACGGAATGATAGGTTCCTATATTGCAATGTAAACAGTTTTAGGTGAAATAATGGGATGATCCAGAGACCAAGAGCACCTAAACCGGGTTTCCCATAAAATTCAAAGCATACCTTGAAAATGCGATAATGTTAAATTGGACTTCAAAACTGGCGATATGACTAGAAATGGATATAACCTGTTAAAAGGAGCTATTGAATTTTTTTAAGAAAGAGTAATACTAGGAATATTGTAAGGCAAGAGACTTGGCCGAATTTCAGATTTTGCATAGCTCCTGAAGATTCAAAAGATTTTAATTATGTGTTCCCTGACGATTTAGAGGTTTTGAGTCAAAAGGTTATAAATTTTACACAAACGTTGCTGAATTTGCGACTAGATTAAAAAAACGTCTATTTAAAAAATATTCTCAACCAAAACTGTAAGAAACACTAAAAAAATGCTAAATTTAGGGCATCAAATCGAAGTAAAGGGAAACCTGTCAATTTTTAGAAAATAGAATGTCTGAATATAGGGGGTAGCTGGTAAACGACGTCGATGAGGTAGCAAAACTATTAAACTAGCAGTTCTAAGCATTTAAAAGCCAATTGATTACTGTTGCAAAGAAACAACGACAATAACTGCTTTATTTTATAGCGTTTAAAGTCTAGTATTAGGAGTCTAGGCGCAAACGATTGCGGTGAGAGCGTGAGAAGCGGACAGTTAAGAGCATAAATAGGATAGTTTCTTCCAGTGTTCAACAAAAAAATTGTAGGACACGCTCAAAAACTTGCAAATATATATACCACAACCATGACTGCCTTCTTTATAGCTTTTAAAGTCTAGCGTTGGGCGTCTAGGCGCAAACGAAGGTGGCGCGAGCGTGAAATTGTCTAGTAAGTAGTTCCGAGTATAAAGAAGCCAATTTATCGCAGTTTTCAACAAAAAAACTGTACGAAACGCTGAAAAACGCGTAAAATTGGGCGAAAAATAGTCATCAGTTAGAAACCAATAGCAGTTGGTGGTCAAATGGCCGGGGGCTACGCGAGCCTCGGGCGGCGCGCGTTAACCGGCGCCCTAGATCGGGTCCCCGGTCTGCCTATGGGGGTGGGGGTGGATTGAATCTATGCAAATCGATGGCCGGGGCTCGGGGGGAAATTCTCTTGGGGGGGAAGCGGGGCCGGGCTGGGGGGAATGGAGGCGGGGCACCGGGGGCCAATGCTCTGGTCGCTGCTGCTGCTGCTCGCTCGCTCGCCTCGGCTCGGCCGGCCGAAAATGGCCGAGCCCTCTCTCTTCAGTAGAGCCGCGACCGCGACGCATCCCGGCAACACGAGCCGCCTGGGGACCATTTTCGCCCCCTCGCCCCTCCACGGATGCCCCCAACACTCGCCCGACCATCGCAGCTGACTCACGGCGCCCACCCCGACTCCCCGATCGCTGATTTCCACACCACGGCTTGGCGGAACGGCCCCGGGCTTACTCGGGCATGCCATCACTGAAATCCCGATATTTTTGATCATTATCGCCACCCGAATCCACCCTGACCGTCTTGCCCTCTTCGAATAACTCGGATATGGATTTTATGAGTTTCAAAACCTAACCGCGCCAAAAAAAAATTTAAGCGTCAAACACGCCCAATCGGGCATGTCGGCTTTGTAATTTCCTCATTATAGCCCTTCCGAATATCCCCTGAACGTTTTCTCTATCTTTTTTTTGCGCTGCAGACATTTTAGTTTCACATTTCACAAGTGCAAAAAACACATCCGGTGTCTCGATAAAAACTTAAAAACCAGACGTATTTTCGACAATAAAGTCGATTCCACTTTGATAAACCACATTCTGAATGTAGCGCAGTCGTTAGCGTTGAAAGTAATGCAAAACACCCGGGCTCCATTGGCCCTTGTCAATCAAAACAAGTGGATTCGATCAATTCAACCGATATGTCGATCAAAATACCGCCACCATAATATGCAGCCACTTGTCTTCGCTTTAATTCATCGGCGTTGATCATTAAAATTAAATTAAAAAATCGATCCAAGTTGTTTGTCACCCGATAATTTCCTTGCGTAATGCGTTAGTCGTCATTTTGTCTGTGTCTTTTTAAACGAAGAGATAACGCTAACTTGTAGAAAGTGTCGAAATACTAGTTCCAATAAAATCTTTATAAAATACACAAAAAAAAAGACTAATTGTTCAAAAAGGTGTTTCAAAATTGGGGGTTGTGGGGTCCGTATGCTCCACCTTACGATGTTGCGTCGATAGTATTGCTATGGAAAGCCCGTTCGACAGCGTACAATTACGGAATTCGTAAATTGTACAGTTGCGTTGTCTCTTTATAAAGTTTTCAATCCTACATTTTTCATCGTTATTATTTCGGCTTCTCGTGTAGCTGCTATTTCTATCTATTATTTTCGGCCTATTATTTGTGTGAAAATGCAACGGGTTTGCTTCGAACTACTTTTTGCTAAACTTTCCCTTTTTTATCGCCTACTTATTCGTTTTTAGGCCCGTCCTCAAAAGCAACCTCCGATGGGCACGATTCAGGTAAATTACCAGTTATTTTTATCTTTTCGCAGGTAGAATCGTGGTTTAAATGTATTTTTACGAAAGCTTTGAGCTAGAGGGGTAACATTGCCCTTTTCACTGTTTTCAGTCTTCGATTTCGGTTTTTGGGGTAATTTTTAGAGATATGAAACGTGTAATGACATACATTAGTAGCAGAAGTAGCACTGGGTCTACATCAAAAGTTTGGCGTAACGTTCTTCATTTTTAGCGTGGATAACTAGTTCAAACGACAATTAGCGTAGAAATACACGATTTCAACATAACTCGCGTTTTCTTTGCTTTTTTATTAGCCGAAACTTTCCAGAAAGCCATCGACTTGATCACAAAGGCCACGGAGGAGGACCGAAACAAGAACTTCGAGGAGGCCGTCAAACACTACGATCAAGCCATCCAGTACTTCATCCACGCCATTAAATGTTTGTTTTTACCTTTTATTTAACTTTTCTAGTAGTTTATAAGGTTTTTAGGAATTGGATCTGGGTGTTCTATTAGAAATTGCCAATTTTAGACGAGGCCCAAGGCGAACGTCAAAAGGAGACGATCCGGCAGAAGGTGGAGGAGTACCTGAAGAGATATCAGCAGGTGCGTCATCGCATTTTATGGATTTTGTTTTTATTATGTTCTTTTCACGGCTGTTAACACACAATTTACTTTTTTTAGATAAAAGAATTCCTGAAGGACAGCCGGGAGGGCAAGAAGGTGAAAGACAACGGGTCCAAGGACGGCGACGACAGCGATGAAGATGTGGAAAAGAAGAAAATGCAGGTAATGAATATTGCTAATGTGTTTTGAGCTGTTGTTTTGCACGTTAGGTTTCTTGCACTTAGTTTGCGTTTTCTTTTCAGAATATATTTGTTTCAATCGAAGAGAGTACGCATAGTTAGAGCTAAAGACGTCATTTTGGTAAAGAAATGGGCGGTTGTCAATTTTGGCATTGTTTAATAGTATATAACTCATTAAAACTTGTAAATCAATATCATTACTTTGTTTCAGGACAAACTACAAGGTGCCATCGTGATGGAGAAGCCGAATGTGAAGTGGACGGACATTGCCGGGCTCGAAAGTGCGAAGGAGGCTCTGAAGGAAGCCGTCATCCTGCCGATCAAGTTCCCGCAGCTCTTCACAGGTTTGTTTTGCGAGCGTTTTTGGTTTTGGTGGTATTAGCAGTGTGATACGATTAAAATTGGCAAATTCCAGTCTTTTTCTTGGTCTTTTCTACTTTTAGCTTTTTTAACGGGATTTTGATTTATTTTTAATCTATGGAATAAGCCCTAGACCATTTTTTAGTTTTGTTTCTAAATTCGGTAATCGCAAAATTGATTTTCGGTGGCTATCGGTTGGCCTTTCCCCCTTTTATTTGGGCAGTATTAATTATTCGATAAGGTTTACTTAACAACTAGATAATATAATTGTTATGCGGCCTAATAGCGCGCTTTCACTTGGTTTTGTTAAAGTCGGTTTTGTCTTACGGTTACATTTTTATCTATAGGAATCATCATCTCGACCTTCTTTTTAGTGCTTTTTGAAAACTGTAGAGTCACTTGGTTAATGTTTGCTTTTTCTTTGGGCCGATTAGTAATAGATTTAAATCAGTGTTCACGAAGTATTTGCAATCATTTATTAGAGGATCAATCTCAAGAAAAAATTTAAACATCTGGTGCACATATAGCCAAAAAGATAAGTAATAATCGGGTGAAATAATACGCTACTGACTGGGCCTCGAATAACCGTAGTCGCTGCTGGTCCGTATGGGCTCTGGGTTTGTGCGTAAATGGGGGGTCTGGGCGGGCGGGGAAAATTGAAATACTATTCTAAGGTACTTTAATTTCATGATGAGCTGGATGTTTGTTGCTGGAGAGCTTTTTTTTGGCACCGGGGGGAATGTGGGGTTTGGCGGGCGTTAGGTTTTATTCGGTTCTGGGAATTTAAAATTCAGGGTTTCCTACTTTGTTTAAATTATTTTATAAAATTTCTATTCCCGGCAAAATTTTTGAATTTTAGAATTTGATCGGAAAATTGTACTCATCGCTTTTACAATCTGGCGCCTGTCCTTTTGAAATAGACCTCTCTATTCTATACATTTTGAAATCCTTATTGTCACACAAAAAAGGCAAAATAGGGAATAAATTATATGAGTTGGGCCTGGGCTGCGATGTTGTGATGTTGGTGGTAGCCGGCGGTGCCGGCTTTGTGTGCCCGCGCGGTGAGCGTCATGTCCTCCTCCTTCATCATGAACAGCGAGGCCCCGTAGAGCACGGGCGAGATGAGCACCTAAAATTGTTTTATAGAATTTTGGCGAATTTTTAATTACAAAATGTATAGAATTTTTGCGAGTTTTTAATTACAAAATATATAGGATTTTGGCGACTTTTTAATTACGAACTTTTCCTAAGCTTTTTTTGCTGATGTTGTGAAAACTTCAAAACCCCTTGAAAACTCACATTCGTGAACGCGACGCACATGGCGATGATGGGTACATTTGAGCCGTCCCGCTCCACCCTCCACCAGCCTGTCGTTGTCACCAAATAGAACGGGAGCTGGTAGAACGGTCTAAAAATTTTAGTTGAATTTTTTTAAGGTAAAACTTTTAAAATGATTCTTTTAAAGAATATTTTTGATCTTCCTTACGTTATCAAAAAGGCGTAGACAAGCCATCGGCTCTTGTAGAGGCCGATTGACTGGAAGACGATAGGGCTGTGGTAGAGAATGCCGAGCACCCGTACGTAGGCATAGGAGGAAAAGAGGACTGGGAAGAACACCTAAAAATATTTTTTATTTGATTGCGCCAAATTAAATTTAATCTATAGGCTTAAGGCTAAGCTTAGGCTCATTTTTCAACCAAAAACTTACGCCAAGAATGAGCACATAGGCGAGGAATTTGATCGCCGAGTCGCTGTGCCCCCAGACGCAGCTTCTCATATTCGGGTCGTAGACGACGATGTGGCCTAGAAATTACGAGTTTTTTGTGATTTTGGGAGCGTATGAAGCGTATGAAGTTCTGGCCCCTTTAAACACTCGCGCTCAATCCACCCGTTCCTCACTTACCATTCGTGACGGCGGGCAGCGCGAGCAGTACGGAGATCACCCACGACAGCACGCAGATGACCTTCGGCGCCAGCCCGAACAACTGCTCGTAGTGGATCCGTGCGAACGTCAACAAGTGTACGCCAGCCGTGCACAGGTGCATCGCGGCCATCACCGTCCAGACAGTGCAAACGAGTAGTGTCTAAAAATGTGCGTGAATTCTGCTCTTTCTTCCCTCCCAGATGTTCCCAGCCCCTTTAAAAATCGCAACCCGCTTACTCTTTTTGTTGCTATACCCTCACTCGCTAGCCAATTTTGTTGGCCCCGATCGAGACGTTAGATTAGCCGGCATTGAAGCGGGCCCAACCCGGCCATTCAAGTGCAGAAATCTCGTTGAAAAGCCCCCCGTCCCCCCGTTGGCCCGCTCAAAAATTACGGGCACCGAGCACAACCCAACGGTGGGCTCTTCGTGGACCCGAAGGTCTCCTTGCTCCCCTCAATTATCTGCTACGTCCCGTCCCTCGGTCTCGTGTTGCTAGGAGACTTTGCGTTTTTTAGGAGCTTCCGCCCTTAGCCCTCCTGCCCGCACTACCCCCCACCTGCGCCAGCTGAAAATAGGCACGCGCTTGTTGGGATCTCGTTAGCGGGGAATGAGAGACGAAGTTTTTTGGGGGGCATTCTGAGAGCGCGGCGGGTCACGAGGGGAAGAAGGTTAGAGCCAAAAATATCAATGGCGTGGGATGGACGTTCTTATCTAATAAGGAGAGGTTTTTAGGTGCTCTTCGAACTTTGTAATGTGACATCGTTCATTCGACAGAGCTTAAAATTCTGAACAAATCCCATCTTGCAAAATTTGCTGTAGGATAACGGTCTTCGAGAATCTGTTTCTCAAAATTCGCATTTTGTTAAGCGGGGGTCAAAAACGGTCAAAATCAGCCCTCTCAGAGCGAATTTTCTTGAAAACCGGTGTCTTACAGCAATTTTTTGCGAACTGGGACTTGTTCAGAATTTCTATCGAATGAGCTATCTCACGACGCAAAATTCGAAGATTACCTAAAAACTTTTTTACCTAAATAATAATCACCGCCCAAGAATTCACCTGTATCCGGCACATGTAATGGCTCTCCTCCCAAATGTTGACCCCGGTCCACAGTGTCCACGCGTACATCGGGATCACGATAAAAATCGTGAAAATGTTCGTGATGCAGAGGTGGCTGATAAAGTGGGACGAGATGAAGTTGTGGTAGAGCTTGTTGACGAGAATGTAGATGAGCAGCGTCAGATTAAGCCCCAAAGCCACTAGCGACAACCCGCCCAGCACTAGGGCTGCGATTGGCTTGGCCTCGCTGCGGTGATGCGTGGCATTGTGATAGACCTGAATTACGGGCTTTAGAAGAGAAAGAAAGGAAATTGTTCTAAGTACGAGTTTTAGTAATAGTTTCCGGCCCCACCTTCAAAATGTCGTCCGTCGAGTTGGCCTCGGTGATGATGTTACCCGTCATGGCGGCCGCGAGGCTGCCGCCCGCCGTTGCTTCTTGCTGACTGCTCCCGGCGATGAATAATCCGATCGTTTCACTCAGCTGATCATAGAGCGTCACCAGCGGGCTGTAATTGTCGGTTTAGCCAGGTTCCTAGCTGTTTTTGAGGCTCGCCGACGATAAGACCTACTTTGGGAGCGAATTTTCACCTCATTAGCGGGTTGGTGATTAGCGTGCGAAAACGGGGCGCCGTGAATTCACTGGGGAATTTTCGGGAATTAGACCGGTCAGGTTCGTTGAGTAGGTAAAGGAATGTTTTTCGTTGTGGTTTTTGGAGAATTTTTTAAGGTTTTGTAAATTCTCTTTTTAAAAATTTTACCTGATCTCAAAACGTTATAGCGAAATAACTTTGGATAGCGTCGAAACAAAAAGCCTCTAAAGAGTTAAACCGTTTTGAAAGTTTATTAATTTTGGAGATTTCTGTTTTGTCGATTGATGCCAGAAAATGATCATCAACGCCAGTTGGGACCTGTTTTTACGAGAAAATGAGCATGGCTAACGGCGAAAATAGATTAAAACGATGACTCAGACTGATTTTTTTTTGCGAAATCGAACCCCGAGAACCAAGAGAAGATCGAAATTCCTTGACCAACCTGAGGATGCGGTAGACGGGCGAGCGGGTGAGCGCCTCCAGGCCTGCCGGTTGACTGCGTGGCAATGTTCAGCTTCAGCAGCAGCCCGGGTGCCCGAATACAGCTCGCTCTCCTCGTCCCACAGCTCAGCCAGCTCTCAGTCGTGCCCGTGATCTCGAGGTTCGGCCGGTGCCCAACGGGAAGAGAGGGGTCTGCTCCGACAAATGTTTGGCAGCTGGAGGGTGGTGGCGGGTTGGCTGGCTGGCTCTAGTCGTCCAAGGGCCCCAGCCAGAAACCCAGCCTCCTCCTCCTCCTCCCCGTTGTGCCCCCCCTTTTCCAGCCACGCCCCAACGATCGATGGGCTGGGGCTCGCGACCAGGGTTTTTCTGCTGTATGTGTGTGTGAGGAGTGGGGGCTCCTTCTCCTCTAGGGCCCAATGGGGAGGAGGAGCCTCTGCTCTGTGTCCATCTCGTGCTCCCTTTGCCGGTCTGTTTGTCGGCTCGTGAGTTTGTGTGTGTTCCACCGCCACCAGTAAGGCCCTTCAGCCCTCAAAAAAGGCGGCGCCGGAAGCCGTGGCGGGCACCAAAGTTCCGCGGGATCTTGAACTCGGAAGCTCGTTCTCTGTAGCACCGTCTTAGGCGTCCGTCAGCTGAGCACCTACCCCAAAAAAATGAGAATTATCGTCGTTGTCCCGACAAGATACCATCCCGAAATCATTTGCATAAAAACTTCATTGAAATAGAAAAATATTTCCTTTTCCTACCTTACGCCTAGATTTTTGCGAGCATTTTTCCGATTTACAAAATTAGCTCAAGGGTCAAGCCTACCGTAACAAAAGGAGCTATTTTTCTATGAATAAGAAGTTTCCTTATGCAAATAACTTCGGGATGATGCCTTTCAGGATGCTGCCCATAATTCCCCCCGGTCTTCTAACCGAATTCCGGAAGAGCTGACTAATTAGGGCGAGGGCAGATGCGCGCGTTTCGCTGCCCTACCCCCCCCCCCTGCCCTTGCCCTCCACGGAGATGGAGCGCTTCTGGGAATGACATGGGAAAAGGAGATGCAGCGTGTGCTTCTGGAAGGAGAGAGGGAGAGAACCAAAAAAAAGGAGATCATATGGATGGCCCATTGGGGCCCACGGCTAGCTAGCCCACCCCGACCCTCGGCAACGTGACTTTTGAGCCCGGAAATCTGGAAAGTGTGTAAAATGGGTTCGGTGACGAGAAAAATTACTTTTAAATACTGTTCTGTAAATTGATAATTAAGCTGATTAACGGATTTTTAACAAGGAGAACTTAGCGAATCTTTACCTCACCTCCACCAGCCAGAGCTCGCCGAAATTGTCGGTGTTTTCGTTAATTTTCGGGATTTTTTCAACGCCATCCGATCGAGCGTCAAAAAAATATATACTAGGGGTCTTCAATACATTAAAAATAATGTAATTTTGCCAAAATTTAGTGCATAATTAAAAATTGAAAATCTGATATTTGAAAGGTGTAATTCGGCAGAGCCTTGAAAAAATATACGCAAGTTTTCAATTTCAAATAATGTGGTATCACCTTTTTCTAATCAATTTTTTTTCAGGAAACCGAAAACCGTGGCGGGGAATCCTGCTGTTCGGCCCACCGGGTACGGGAAAGTCCTTCATCGCCAAGGTGAGCTCGCTTTTCCACTTACGCGCATACCGCTAATCTAGGCCGTCGCAACCGAGGCCGGCAACTCGACGTTCTTCTCGATTTCCTCCTCGGATCTGATGAGCAAATGGCTGGGTGAATCAGAAAAGTGGGTTTTTGGCCGGGGTGACGCTATTTTTTTCTTCTAAGGTCCGGGGCACTGCCCCAATGCTGTCGCGCTTAATTGGACCCTCACCTTTTTTTGAGCAGCGCCTGAAGGGGTTATTTGATCTCTGAATTCTCCCTCTCCCCACCCACTTCCCTAACCAATCCACTCGACCCTCCGGGGGGGGGGGCATCTGGCCAAATGGTAGCCCGTTCCTCCTTTTTTTTCGTCGTCGCCGTAATTAGGGCCTCTTCAAAAATGGAAGGTTTTTTCGGGCCCCGAGGAAAGGTTGGGCCACAGAACGGGGGGACCCTTCGCTTTTGGATGCCGAGACGGCAGCACTCCTCGCGTCACCCGCAACGAGGGGAGGAGAGCAGCGCGTTTTTTCTCTGGGCCCTTGTTTGGGCTGGGAGCGGCCGGCCGGCCCGTCGGCATCCTGAGTGCATCCTGCCTTATGCTGGGGTTTTTGGAAGTGGGGGTAAAGCGCGCCAGACTCCCCGGGATGTGCCCCTACCCGGTTGAAATGCATGAATTGGAAGTGGGCCTCGTCGTAGTGGCCCCATCGAGACGGATCGAATTACACACAGTGCGCGCTGTCCATCCACTTATCCCTCACTATAAATTTGCGGCTGTCTGGAGCGGAAATGACAAATAGGCTGGTAGACATAATTATAAAGACAGTCAATGATGGTAAAATCTCAATTTCTAGTCGTTTTTAAGAAAATCTCGCAATTAGTTGCATTATTCGCATACTTTTGTTGTCAATTGCGAAAAAAAGAATGAAAAGTTTTTAGAATCGGCTAGAAATTGAGATTTTCGAAAAAAATTTTACTGCCTGTTTAATTATCTCCACCAGGGTAAACCTAAAGATATAAAAACCTCCGATTCAACCTCAATTTTTCAGACTCGTCAAAAACCTTTTCGAACTCGCGCGCCACAACAAGCCCAGCATCATCTTCATCGACGAGGTACCGAAATTTTCCGTTTTTCTAAAAAAAATTTTTGGATTGACTCCCTCTGCTCGTCACGCTCGGACAATGAAAGTGAGAGCGCGAGACGTGTGAAAACGGAGTTCATGGTCCAGATGCAGGTGATTTTTTCCCGGACGGCCTCGTTAATTTCCGATCTTTAGGGAGTCGGGTTGAACAATGACGGGATTCTGGTCCTCGGCGCGACGAACATCCCCTGGATTCTTGACGCGGCCATCAGGAGGTAATTTCAGAATAGCTAGTTGTATGATTTTTCTTTCTCTTTAGACGTTTCGAAAAACGCATCTACATTTCACTCCCCGATCTTCACGGCCGCAAGGAGATGTTCAAGCTTGAGGTCGGGAAGAATAGGAACAATCTCAGCGATGGAGACTACAGGGTGAGCATTTCTCTTGCAAAAAATGCAGTACGTTTTTTAGTTGTTAGCCGAGAAAACGGACGGGTTCTCCGGCTACGATATCAACATACTGGTGAAAGACGCGCTGATGCAGCCGATTCGACGGGTACAAACGGCCACGCATTTCAAGGTGGGAGCTCGGATTTCGTTGGCTAATCGGAGTTTCGTTTTTAGTACGTCAGCGGCCCCGACTCGAACAACCCCGCCGTGACCGTGCACGACTTGCTCACCCCCTGCTCGCCCGGTGACCCGCAGGCGATGGCCAAGAGCTGGATGGACATTCCGCAGGGCAAGATTGCCGAGCCGCTCCTGACTATGGTATGCGAATTTTAGGAGATTCAAAACTTTATGGATTTCTCGGAATTGACGGTTTTATTCTTCCTGAATTAGTTTTCCTAAATGTATTCTTGCTAAGAACTTTTTTAAAACTAGAGGAAACTAGGGACCTTGAGCACCAAATTCCGTTTTTGGGGTGGTTTGTGTTGAGTAGGACCAGCTTTATTCTTATTTTTGATTGGCTATTTACGTTAAATATAGCTAAGTTTTATCAAAAATACTAAAAGATATAGGGTGCCATGTTCAAAAAAAACTGACTTATTAGAAAAACCAGTGGAAAAAGACCGCTTCGCGGCCATTTTCCACTGGACCCCCGTCTAAGAACCACGAATTCTAACCCCTCCCTTTTTTCAAGCCTGCGGCGCAAATGCCGGAGTCCCCGGAGCCATTCCTCGGCCTGAGGCGCCAGAGCGCGGGCTACGCTCGAAACCTTGAGCCTGCGGCGCTAGCTACTGACTTTACTCTCCATATTGGGCCTGCGGCGCAAGAACCGGAGTAAAGGAGCCATTCTTTGGCCTGCGGCGCCAGAGCCAGCGTTGCCCTAGAATTTGTATGCCTGCGGCGCTAGTTACTGGTTGTTCTCCAGGCTTTGGCCTGCGGCGCGAGAGCCTTGGGCCAAGGACCTTTGTGGCCTGCGGCGCTAGAGCGAGGGCCAGGCCTATCCCCCGCACACCGAGAGCCTAGAAATATGTTTTGTTGCTGAACTACCAAAAAGCAAAACGGTAGTTCCCGGCAGGATCCGAACTCACTACTACGCACGTGGCAGGCAGACGCAAATGCACTGCACCACCGTGATGATGGGAACAGGCAGCGGGAAAGGCCTTTTCTCTCCTGGGGGAGGGGGGAGGCAAAGAGAATGGCGACCCAATGATCCCGGAGGGAGGCCTACTGGTCACTTTACAAAATTCGGTTTTCGAGTCTGAATCAGCTGAAAATTTGTAAAGATAATAAGATGCGCATGATCCCCACCATCGATTACATAAGTGCCCGAAATCACAGCCCGAAATTCCATCTTGGATTCGAGTTATGGCCCGGACACCACGGCACTTTGGCCATTTTGTTAAGGATTTTTTAGAAAAATGCTTATAAAAACCTTATTTTAAATGATTAAAAAAAATCCAAAAAATGGTATCGAGATATTTGCATTATCCATCGACCCACCAAAAATCAGAGTCTAACTCCATCGGGTAATCGAGATATGCTCTGAACAAACCTTGTTTTTACCAAATTGCTAACAAGGGAACCTCACGCGGACAGGGTGGAATTTCAAAAAACGCTCGCGGCTACCCCTAGGTAATCGACCATTGCGATCAGGATGCGCTTGTCAGATTTTTCTGAATGCACCTGTGGACAGAGATACAGCACTTCCGGAAAATGATGATTTGCATGCGAAAAATTAGCATGGAGGGATGGTTTATTAGGCTCTCCCATCACTATGGAATCATCAGTTGAATGGCCGAGTGGTAAGCAACTCGCTTGTTAGGATACCGACGAGGGTTCGGATCCGCTCACGATTTTTTATTTTGCTTTTTTGGCCAGAGATTTTTGCACAAGTCCAGATGTATTAGACCTAAATCTTTACATGTCGATTTTTGCACGAGCCAGGGGTGCCGTTCTAGCATTTTCTGGTGCAGTCGATCAGACAAGGATTCTTACAAAACAGCCAAAAAATTTTTGTTCTCTGGCGTGCCAAAGGATACATGGCCGTCCGGATCGATGCCGGGACTATATTTTTACGAAAAACATTTCAAAAAACAAGGGATTATCCTGGGTAAAGTATGGGGGTTTCATCAATTTGGCGATGTTCTGGACTTGTGCAAAAATCTCTGGCCAAAAAAACAAAATAAAAAAATCGTGAGCGGATCCGAACCCTCGTCGGTATCCTAACAAGCGAGTTGCTTACCACTCGGCCATTCAACTGATGATTCCATAGTGATGGGAGAGCCTAATAAACCATCCCTCCATGCTAATTTTTCGCATGCAAATCATCATTTTCCGGAAGTGCTGTATCTTTGTCCACAGGTGCATTCAGAAAAATCTGACAAGCGCATCTTGATCGCAATGGTCGATTACCTAGGGGTAGCCGCGAGCGTTTTTCGAAATTCCAACCTGTCCGCGTGAGGTTCCCTTGTAAGAGTTTTTCACTATTTTGCTTGTACAATCGTTGAATTCAGGAATTTCGATAAACAAAAAAAAATGCGTTTAAAGAGAATGTGTTTCTCCACCTCCATAACAAAAATCATCTCGAAATTCGGCCGGACGGCCGAGAAATCGTCTGCACAGAAAACAGACATACTTTTCTCGCTTATAGGATAGGATGTTTATTTTTCGCAATCGATAAGGCTAAGTCTCCTAGACATTATAGACGAATTTAGGTTTTCAAGGAAAGGAATTTTATAAAAAATGATGTTTAGAAAAATAACAGCTATTTTTTCAGGGTGACCTGCAACGATCGCTGACCACGGTGAAGCCGACGGTCAACCGGGACGATCTCTCCCGCCTTGAGGGCTTCGCACGCGACTTTGGCCAAGAGGGCTAACCGACCGCTCCATGCCGACACGCGATCAATGTCCATATGCCAATCCCCCCATTCGCATTCAACCCAGTGTGTATCTATCAAAATGTCGTACACTAGTCCCCCGCCCCTTTTTTTGTTGTTTTCTAATTATTGCTTTTGGCCCGGAACTCTTCTAAAAACCCGCATAGCCCCTTTGGCCCTACAGCACGTGTGTTCCGCTCAATATTTTCGTTTTTGGGAAACTGAGTTCCGCGGAAATCCCTCGAGCTTCTTCCGAAAAACCGAAATCGGTGCGGTGGCTGGAGTTGTGCGAGATTTTGATACCTCAATACTTTTCGAAGTTAGGCCAAAACAATTGTCGGTTAGACTTAACTTTACCTCCCCCAGCCGGAAGTTCCGAAAATTTTCGACATTTCCGCTATTTTGTCGGGATTTTGGCTATGCGATTCGATAGAGCATCAAAAAAAATATGCCAAGACTTTTAATTAGAGCCCAGAACAATGTCAAATAAAAGAGTTATAGCGAAAACCTTTTTGGGGGGAACTCCACCTGGGGGATAGGGAAAGTAAAGGATTGTCAAATTCCCAGCCACTCGCCTTCTGACTCATTACAGGTCCCCGTGATCCGCGAATCGTGTCCGATATTCCACATACATAGCCGCCTCGATCTGTTTTTTACACCAGCCCTCCGATTTTTGCGCCCTATTGCCAATCGTCCGCTTTCTGTACGGCTCTCCCCCCAGCAGCGTTTCCTTCCTTCCGTTGTCATTACTTATCTATTCCAAACAGCCGCCATTTCTCCACCGGCCCTCTCCCCGCATCGGCGAATTTTGTAAATAGACGTGCCGATGGCCTATGCGTGTGTTCCTGTTTCTATAATTGTCGAATTCGGTGTATACAATCGTGGTTCAGTAAAGGCACTTAACGATGATACAGCTGAACAACAACACAATACAAAATATAGATGATTCCCCCTAATCCCTTTTGCCCTTTCTTGTTTTGATCTCCTTCAGACGTTGCGAGACCGACTTTCCGCTCAGCGCTGTCGTGTCGTACTCGCTGAAGCAGTGGTAACAATAAGCCCCTAGGCTACGGCTCTCACCGATTATCCTCGGGATCTTCCCCGGTCGACAGCACCCGCACGCACATTCTGGCGATGAACTAAGATTCGATAACTCATCTACCTTGCTCTAACTTACGTTAAACCAGAAAACGTTCAGCAGGTAGAGCAGCAACAACAACCCGCCGATTATCGGAAACACCGGTGAATCCTGATTTCATTTGGTTTTAAGGATGTTTCTTGCAAACCTGTGGTCCAAGATATACACCGCCGTAGATCGTAGCGTAGAGTAGTTTGCAAGGATACCAATATAGCCGGAAGATCATCCTGAAATTTTGTTAATTTCTTTGTGAAAAGAATTAGCCGGTTTTGAAATTTAGCTTACCAGATGATTGCGAACAGCTGCAAAAAGACCTTTCCGGTGATGTCGACGAGCGGGTAGTAGTCGCCATTAGTGCGCCGTTTCAGGTAGACACACAGTTTGGCGAACTGGAAATTTTAGAATTTTACAATTGGAAAGCTTTTACAATTCTTTCTCTCTGTTTCTCTCTCTCGCTCTCTCTCTCTCGCTGTCTCTCGCTCTCTCTCGCACTCTCTCTATCTCTAGCTCTCCCTCTCGTTCTCTTTCTCTCTCCTGTTGTCTCTCTTTCTCTCTCTCTCTCTCTCTCTCTCTCTCTCTCTCTCTCTCTCTCTCTCGCTCCAATCACGATACCTCCAACAGCGCGTCCGAATTGTCCTGCAGCAAGAAGACAAGCGCCCCGGCCAGGGTGTAGCTGAATTTTCAAATTCTGCGACTATCCTAAAAAGACTTACTTGTCCGCATAGGACAGTGCGAGGAGGAGAACGGCCACAAAATGGTGCAGAAGCATTATGATCGAATCCTGCCGCCATTGGTCCATGTAGAGGGTCGCCCAGACAGAGTGCACGTAGAAGCCCGTCTAATTCGAGCGGTTTAACGGTTTATTGGATTTCCAAGAGGATCTCTGCTAGCCGATTTGCTGACATCATATCATAACGATGGTATAGATTCCTAAATGATGTCTGCTAACCTGCCTACTGGGTGGCTTTGTCCTTTTCTCAAAGAACAATTGCTAGTTGCTGTTTCTTAAAATTCCCTTGGGAAAATCGATTACCTGAATTGCATACAGCACCACAACCGACATATCGTATCCCGGCGCTTTGCCCGATTCCCAGCCTAAAAATACCTTCTTTTTATTTCATTAAAGGGACGGTGACTGCAAGAATTGGGGCAATGTACACTATCGAAAGCCATGGAAGAACTTACCCTCCCACATGATCAATGGATCCCGGAAGGTGTTCAGATGATCGACGTGCAGCACAGCGACGTATGCCCAGATTCCGCCGTAGTACAGCAATTTCCAGGCGGCTTCCGATATCTTGTGCGCGACGAGCGGGCTGACGTGATGGTGGTGGACCCAGCGCTAAATAGAGGCGAAGACGGTCATCTATTTTAGGATATTTGGCTCAACGGCCTCAGCCAAACCCTGACCACTTACTCCGACCGCATACTGCAGCGCGTAGCGGAGCACGGTGAAAAGTAGGGCGAGGGCGAGCACGGTGTAGATGGCTGTGGAGGAGATGGCCAGGCTTGATACATGGGCTGTAATGAGTATAGAAAGTCTTCCGGGTTCAGATATACCGATGAAAGTTGACGTCAAGGATTCGCCGGGGTGTAGCTGCCAGTAGCGGTGAAGGAAATGGGTGATTGACTCTTTGCAGAGGCGTAGCTGAAAACAAAAGTCAGGGCTTTTTAAAGATATAGTGATTGTGACAAAATTTACCTCCGCCCCCCCCCCCCGCTAACGAACCAGAACAGCAAAGCTCACTATTTTATACATGTCTTACCCGTCCCTTTAAACACAAAGCTCCCTGATATACTGCCGGATTTTCTCTCCTCCTCCTCATGGACACATGGTTCAAACAGCCAACCTGGTTGATGTCTTGCAAAGTGTCCAACCAGGGGCAAAGGTCGGGCAAACACTCGTCTACCTAGCCAACTCCCAGGGGGCCACTTCCCCCTCCTACCCCCCGATTATCCGTGTTTACCCCCCCGACACACAGTCACATACAGACACAACTCGCGCCCCGCGCTGGGACACACCCTCAATGGCTACAACATACATCCACGATCGGGGTCCGCTAGTTGGCCGGTGCCCAAATTCACGCCGCAACGATACGGGATCAGACTTGATAGCGGACTCGGCACAAGCTCCTCGCATACCTTTTAAAGGGTCTGTTGATCCCCTTTCTGGGAGGCGGGTCAACAGCTGGCAAATTGCCAACAGGGGGGGAGAGCGCGCCACGGCGAGAGGCGCCGAGAAATCCCCTTTCCCTGGCGTAACCGATTTCCCTATGCCCGATTTCCCTATACCCTGAAAATAAACCAACTACGCATCGAATTTTGGCAAGTCGAGCACGCCATTCGACCCATTTTGAATCGCAATAAAATCAACCCGATCGCGACGGAGAAGAAAGTTATGAGGCTTCTGGCTAGATCGTATGATCGAAAGAAGCCATTTTCAGGTATCAGAAAGGCCCAGTAGATCAGGGCTATGATTGGCAACGAGCTAACGAGCAACGAGGCAGGATGTTGCAAAGAAAATTTCTGCTAATTTTAGAACTAAAACCATTTTTTAATTTACCTGGCCTTTCTGATCGCTTTAAGGCGCACTACTTTCAGCCTTCGGGTTCACGTACAACAGAAGACATCTCTCATTTTAGCGTAGCCTTTTTGTGAAATTATGCACATCCGGTATCTATGGGCCGATACCTGGTCCTGCGCGCAAACGGCCAACTTAAATTTCGGAAGCGGAATTACAAATCAGTTTTTTTCAAATAACTTCGATTATATTGTAGATTCATCGTCGGAGACTACTTTGTTTTGCAAAAATTGAGGCCAAGTTGAGATACCCATAGTCAAGGCAGAAACGAACCAATGTCAGCGGGTCGGCTGTTTCGACGCGATATAGCCGCGGATCATCGAGGGTATACTCGGGAGGGAGCATCCCTAAAAATAAGTAGCTAGTGTAGGAGAGATCAGAAAATAATGTCAAGAGAGAGAGCCAGCATCATTGGTTCTAAGTCGTTCGCAGCAATAACTGAGGAAAGAGATGCTATAGTAAGAGACGGCGCTATTTTGGGCATCTCTTCCAAAGAGGTGTCCATAGAGACTTCTTCTGGCTGGGCCCACCTTTTTTGTTTTTTCGAATTTTTGCTTAGAAACCAATGACGAATGCGGGTAAACAACAATTCGGAAGATAGGGAAAACAAACAAAACACGGAAGTTTTTGAAATATGCAAAAATGGGAAATGACCACAGTGATTTTTAGAGCGATTTCCACGGACAGGCAACTCCATAAAATAGCTGGTAGTTGCGCCTTATCTGAGTACAGAAAGCGTAGGAAAATACTGTATACTCATCAGGTAATGCCTATAGGCGTTTTATTAGATTCATCTAACAACCAAAATTGTGAAAATGGGGGCGTCCGAGGCGTCTACCGAACGTGGCCACAGCAAATACCTAAACAAGCAAATAGAGCTCCCGTGTGGGCGTGACCAAGGCCAAGATCGACGTTACCTCCGCCATAACCTATTTTAAAACCGTAGATCAAAGCCCCAAAAGCAAAAAAAGCCCCTCCTTTTGATTCTTTTGGTCTTTTAAACTATAAAAATTCTCTGGACAAGTGGGTCAAGGTCGAATACTTTATCATTTATGCGTTTCGACGAGTTTTTGCGTGTCGCACAGCTTCTTGTAGATGTCGTTGCGGCGGAGGAGCTGCTCGTGCGTGCCTTAAAAGAATAAAAATAGGATAAATCCTTTAAAAATTAAGGTTATTGAAATGTTTCTATCCTCCAAAACGCTGCTTTTGAGGTTTACTTACCGACATCCACAACCCGACCCTCGTGCACGATCGCGATCGCGTCGGCATCCTATAAAAAATTATTGAGGGCTTTGTAAGGTTATAGACATTTTTCAGAGAGGTATCTAAAATTGGCTACGAGCCTGCTCATTAGAGAAAATTTTGGCATTACCTGTATTGTGGATAATCGATGTGCGATGACCAGGCAGGTCCGGCCTGCTCTCGCTTTTTCTAGCGCTTCTTGCACAACCTGGCAAAAGTTTAACGTGGTAGGGAATTTTTTAATATCTACCTTTTCACTTTCTGTATCCAGCGCTGATGTGGCTTCATCAAGCAGCAGGATTGCAGGTTTTCTGACGAGCGCCCGAGCGATGGCTATCCGTTGTTTTTGGCCTGAAATGAGCAAATTAGTGTATTCTAGCTACATGCAAAAAAACTAAATTCAGACGAACCTCCACTCAACTGCGTCCCCCGTTCCCCGACCGGCGTATCGAACCCCAGCGGTAGCCCCGTAATGAAATCGTATGCATTCGCCAGCCGAGCAGCGTCTTCGACCTCTTCTTGGCTAGCTTGTCTAGAAAAAATATCATGGAAACAACGACAAGAAACATACCTGTCCATGCCGTAAACAATATTGTCGCGTATCGTACAGTCGAAAAGCGTCGGCTCCTGGCTGACGATGCCCACCTGACTTCGGAGGCTGGGCAGGGAGTATTGGTTGATGGGGGTTCCGTCTAGGCACTGGAAAGAAAAAATCAACGCGTTAACAGAATTAACTAAACTACTAAAAAAACTACTGAAAATTCGCATTGCCCAAAGCTCGGCTCGTCGATTTTCTGTCGAACTTACAATTTGCCCGTAGAGAGGATCGTAAAATCGCTCTAGAAGACTCAGCACCGTACTTTTGCCACATCCCGAATGCCCGACGAAGGCGACTTAAGAAAATTATATATAGCGTTTCAAGCAAGTTGCCTCATGCTCAGTGCCTTAAGGGCGAACAGACAATAGACAATCCTTTAAGGTTTTTCTGTTACAAAAACACTTGTTTGTGGCCCCGAACTGCGCGCTCACCTGTCTGCCCGGGCTTTATCTTCAGCGTCAACCCTTGTAAAATTCTAATTTGTCGCCGGGTCGGGTAGCTAAAGTGTAGATTCTCGAGGCTGATGTTCCCGGTAATTTTCTGAATTTCACAGTTTTCCAAAATCAATACCGCTTCTCACCTTGTCATCGCCTTCCTCAGACAGGTTGTCGATTTTGGTCGGATAGTTGACCAAGTTCATAATCAGCGAAGCCGCCAATCGCGTCTTGATGATGTCCGGCATAAAGGTGGCTATCGCGCCGACCATCTGGCCGCAAAACGCCAGCGAGAAGAATACCCTGAAATTGTTTGCTAGAGGCATCGGATCGCTTACAAATTCACGTGTCTAAAGTTTACATTTTGTTAAACGCGGGTTAAAAATCGACAAAATCAGCCCTTACGGGGCACGTTTTCTCCTAAACCATAGTCGTACGCAGTAATTTTTGTTACCTCTATAATTTAATATACCTCTATAATAATTTACCTCTACCTCTATAATAATTTCAAGGCTCTACCGAATGCGCTATGTCGGTTCTCGAAACTTCAACGTAATACGTGAAAATGATTCCTTGTTAGCTTTAGGGCTCCAGAAATTCGACCCTACCTGTAGACCTCAATAGGTTGCATCGTGAGATCCATGACAAAAAGAGCTCCAATGAAGAAAGCAACGGAATACATGAAGAAAACGATCGCCTGAGCGATGCCAAACACGAGACCGTAGAAGTGCGATCCCCGCACGTTCGCCCTAAAATGGTGCCTGAACCTTGAAAGCCCGGACCAACCTATGCGGTTTGTCAAGGTGCGCGCAGTAAAGATCGTTGAAATGTTGTTGCTTGTTTAGTGCCTGCACAGTTCGAATGTTATCGACGGCCTGCAGAGCCACTTTTCCGGCTTCTTCCAATTGACGGGCGTCGCGTAGTTTGTTGCCCAGCTGAAATGGGTGTGTAAAATCATTTCGGACACGGATATTGTTTTTATTTTTGGCCCACCTGCATTCTCATCTCGACGGCCTGGGCAATGATGATGACCGGCAGGAATGGGATCACGCAGAGCGCCAATTTCCAGCCGAAAATGAAGGCCAGCATCAGCGAGCCGATGATGGTCACCGACGAGGAGGTGACGAGCGGCATTCGGGTAAAAACCTGTCGAAAAGTTGAAGGTATCGATGAAACGGCTTACATATCGTACGTTTGGCGCATCAGTGGCTAATCGGGTGCATAACTTCCCGGTGCCGTTCTTTTCGTCGTCAAAAAATCCTGAAAACAACCTAGATTTTGAAATATTTCTGTGTTATGGCTTAAGTTGATATCAAACTATAAAGATAAAATCAAAAGATGCAAAATAATATTTTCTAAAAAAAACATGGGAACTCAATGCAACTAAATAACTCACCGATATCCTTGGCCATCAACGACTTGAAAACCAACTCCCTGAGCCCGGTGGTACAGTCCTCGCCGGCCATTCCGCACATTGTATTCTAAAGGGTGCCCTCGATACCGTAGCCACCTACCGAAAAGATGGCCCCGGTACAGTGGAAGCAGCCCAGCACGATGAAGGCGAGAGCCCAGAAGTGGACCGAGTCGACGATTTGATCGACTGGTTGCGAGAAGACCTGAAAATCAGCTTCCGACATTTTGATCTAACCTAAGTATCCTTTTTCTTACTTGCTTAAAAAACAATGATTTGTCCCCTAACGCAAACGTCGCCTACCTGGAAAATCTGGGCGTAAAGGATCGCAAAAACTGGAGTACAGCATCCTATTAGGGCGCCGGCAGAGTAGCCGATGGCCAGCTTTGGGATTGCTTTCCTAAAAAAATTTTGAAATGAAATAAATGGTGCTAACCCACTTATTAAAGGTAAAGATTTCCAGGAAGGACATCGGCTTCAGTTTGGCTTCCCTGAAAGCGGAAGGCATTAAGACGCATCCAAAACAATGGTCAGAAATGCTCGAAAAAAATCCCTAAAAGCGCTTACTTTGCTTCGGCCTCCACCTTGGCCAAATCGTCGACGGTGGTCTCGTCGATCATCTCGAAGTCTTTGGCAGAGCGCGTGATCGACCGTATGCTTTCTCTAGAATGCCTTGGTATTTTTGATGATCCCAAATTCGCACCTATTAGAGTCGGATCTGGAAAGAGTCCTCGTTCTTGTCCTTTTTCGAAGTGTTGTTTCGGTTTCGGCTTCTGAGTTTTAGTACGTATAAATAAAATATATGTATATATTAATCTAAGAATATAAAATACCCACCAGCCTCTTTCGTAGCCTTTTCCTCCAGTGACCTCAACAGTTGGGCTTGTACCATCTGGTGGAAGGCTCCCTGAAATCGCCGATTCGGTATAGAGTTCATAAAGCGTATTCACATACTTTTCTCGTGATCAGCTCCGCGTGGGTGCCCTGCTCGATGATGTGGCCCGCCTAGGCAATCATGACATTTAACGTTATATGGCCTACCTTGAAAACAAAAATCTGATCAGCGTCTCGGATGGTGGCCAATCTATGGGCCACGATGAACACGGTGCGGCCGGTTTGAGCCTGGAAAAGCGGGGTGGAGGTGACGTGGCAATGGGAATTACGAAAGACCTCTGTCTCTCTCTCTCTCTCTCTCTCTCTTTCTCTCTCCCGCCTAAAACATACTTGATCTAGGGCTTTTTGAACAACCGCTTCACTCTCCGTATCTAACGCCGACGTCGCCTCATCCAGCAGCAGAATTTGAGGATTTTTCACGAGCGCACGAGCGATGGCGATCCGCTGTTTTTGGCCTGAATCTCAAAGTCAGTGCTCAACCCCCGGGCCCTCAACCTCCGCTCAATTGCACTCCACGCTCGCCGACGCGAGTGCCAAGCTGGTCCGGCAGTTTTTCCACAAATCCCCACGCGTTTGCCTAAAAACGCGTATAAACAGTGTCCACAAGGGGCGTGAAAATCTTACCAGTTTACAGGCGTGAATCGCCTCATCTTCGGTCACGCCATCCCGACCCATTTGAATATTTTCCAGTAGGGAACCATCGAAAAGGACTGGTTCCTAAAATACTTCCACTTGAAGGGGCTCCGAAATGTGGTCGACGGCCCCCCGAGTTGATTCCTGGCAATCAGCCAGCTGCGGCTGCAACGCGACCGCCCCGCATGATCTTTTGCGCCTGGTTGGACGTTAAAAAGCTTGCATTTAAAAATTCTGGCGCTATTTTCGGAATCCTCACCGAATTTTGTTCATTCTAGACTTTTTAATTATGAAAATTGACCAGAGAATCAGCGAGATCGAGAGATTGGGCGCCTTACAAGGCATTACGACATGTAATAGTCGCGCACCCAAAATGCCGTTTTCGCCGCAAGAAGTTTTCGGTTTTACATAAATATTTTACGTTTTTCGCAATGAAATCGATTTTCTGGTACTCCTCGGCAGTGACATTTTCGTTTTTTGACCAGTAGGTTCAATCCCCGCATGCACAAATTTTGATTTCCGAGCCCCTTGAAGACAGAATTAGTCAGGACAACATTTTAAGGTACACGGTCTCCTTCGAAATCTCGTAGCTCGCCAACGCATTGATACTGTCTGCACGCAGACACTATACTCCCATATCCCTGTCGGACGCTGCGAGAGCATCGCCATTTCGTTGCACCCACCTGGGAAACAATCCCAATTTGATCGCGCAAGCACCGAACGTTCAGTGTCTTCAGGTCAATCCCGTCGATCATTACCTACATTGAAACTTTGCACTACAAATGCCTAAACACCTACCGTACCCTCTTCGGGGTCGTAGAAACGAAGTAGCAGGTTGACGATCGTGCTCTTCCCGCAGCCCGAAGCGCCGACGAGCGCGATTTTCTGCCCAGCTTTTGCTTCCAGCGAGACCCCTTTCAGGATCTGGAGCCAACGTTTTGAGCATATACCTTTCAATCATACCTGGATTTCTGGTCGGGACGGATAGCGGAATTTCACGTTCTTGATATAGATGTTACCTAAAAAAATTGCAAATAGATGCTGAAGAGTATAAGAATTTAATCAACCTACCCTGAAGATCCGTTTTCTTGATTCCTTCTTCGGAATATGGATCGATGGTGGGGACCTGAAAACTAGGTTTAAGATTGATTGGCACAAAGCGGTTAGGAAATAAGATAGGAAAAATATGATAAAAATAATACCCTCAAAAACCCGAGTATAGTTCCGGTACGCTTTGGCGACGTACCAATACAAATGACGCTCTAATAACGTGCGTCGCCGACCTCTTTCCGCAAAAGCTATGTAAGACAAAGGAAGCGGTCTTAGGATTTCTTGCATCAATTTCTTTCGTTATACCATTCGAAATGTTGGAAATAGTCGAAAGGTGAGCAAATATGCACTCGAAATTGCAAAAATACCTTTTGAACAGAGTTATTTGCAAGAAGCCGAAAAAACGAAGCACATCTATTTACGGTCATACGTAATCACGGACGCTAAGTACGTTTCACCCGGAACCATCTCGGGATTTTAGGGTAATCATAAAAAGACATTTTCTGCTCAGCTACCGTGCCCACCCTTGCAATCGTGTCGACCACTTTGTTCAGTGCTCCCCAACCAGTAGAAACGACAGTAATGAAGGGTAGCGCTGTGCTGAGGGCCGTCGATCCGGACATCACAGCGAAAAACACCGAAAAATTAAGGAACTTATTGCTGAAGATCTGGAATTACCGTGAAGACCGTACCCCGGCTGGTCACCGTATTCTCGGCAATTAGCTTTCCGGCGTACCTGAATTGGCGGTTAGTCGATATTTTCTAGATACACGCGCTAATCTATGCACTATAAATGCTATATAATATTTTATAATTTTGATAGGGCTGTAAAGAATCATAGAGAATAATTTGGCTCCCGCCCCGCTGACAATCCCCCCACCCGCTAACAGTCCAGAACCAAATATTTTACAGCAATTCGTCGAAACTAGTAAAGGGTTTCCCAATAAAAAAAATCCCTTTCTAACTCGACGCAGAAGTATCGGATCGGAATCGTAGTTACACCATTCGAAAGCCTCTGGAACGACGAGTTTGCAACAATTTTCTAAACCATTACTTTGCGCTTTTGCGCAAAGCTATTGCGCTACTTTAAAACCATTTTGTAGAATTTTGCGGTTTTTCGAAGCTGCATACGAGCTAATTTGCCACAGTTTCTTCCGGCAAAATGACCGGAAGTAGCCGTTAATTACCGGCAGAAGCCGCTCCTTAATGTTTTGAAATGCTTTGTAAAACGGTGAGTTTAAATAAAAACATGAGTATCAAGTCTGGTGCAAACTCGTCGTTTCAAGGGCTGTCGAATGGTGTAAATTTCATTCCGATCCGATCGTTCTGCGTCGAGTTAGATGCGGGGTGTGCTTTTTTTTGGTTGGGATGCCCTGTACATTCCACACCCATAAACACCCACCAAAATGCGGCCGCATACGAGCCATAGCGACAGAGATGCATAAACCCAATCGAGATGCCGATCATGAAATATTTGGGCAGGCTGGCCTTTCGCGACTCTTCCATGCAGACGGCAAATCTGAAGAGGTTTCGTTTTTTCATGGGAGTAAGCATCCACTTCTGTAGCTCCTTCTTCTGCGCGTTCAGCGCCTGAATTGTGCGCATCGACGACAGGGCCTGTTCAGCGACAGCACCCGCCACCGCGTACTTCTCCTGCTCGATTTGGGTCCTGGAAAGTTCTAAAATTTCGCCGAGCCCCTCAAGAAGCACCTATTCGCTTGGAATCGAGCTTGAAAGGCCCCGACAAGGACGATCGGTGGCACGAACGCCATCATGATCAGCGTCATCGTCCAGTTGTAGTAGAAGCCGATGATGAACGACGCGACAAATGCCAAGATATTCTGGAGGGTGGGCTGAGTACCGTAGCCTTGATACCTGTAGCAGCATCGAAAATTTGTCGCCGAATGCTTCGCGGACACGTTCGAGGTCGCTGGAAATTTTAGGTAATTTAAAGGGATCATGCAGGCAGAGGCAACGACGACTTTGACTTTGCATGCTGATACGCTTCGGTTAAGCTTTGGCTTAAGTTTAGGTTTAGGCTTAAGTTTAGGCTAAAGCTTAGGACTTAGGCTTCTCCTAGAGCACGACCGAACTGCACAAGCGGAAACAAAAAAACAGTCTCACTCAGTCAGTCGGCTCGTCAAATTCCCGGCCTGCTTCTCGTCGAACCAGGCGATCTCCTGGCGCAGCACCGAGCGCAGGTACCGTAATCGCATCCGGTGTACGACGCGCTCGCAAAGCGTCTCGAAACAGGCAATCTAAAAATAAGGTGCGGTGATCCGGAATGAGAAGAACGAATTGCAAGGGCTATTTTCGATCTTTAAAATGTCTGCCAAAACTAACATACCTGAAAATAGGATGTTATAAACTGTATAACACCCAGTATCGCGTAGTACAAGCTGATGATGCCAATCTCGTGTTGGAAGTCTTCCCTAGAGAATTTTTAGATAGTTTACGGTAACAGGGTACCGACTTTAGAATTGGGATGGTATCATTGCTCGTCGTGTGCTCGCCTCCGATCCATGGAGAGTTCTGGGCGCGCAGGAAGATGTTTGTCATGGAGCCTAAAGAAAGTGTTGTGATACGTTAAAGGGGCTCCGAACTGCCAAATCAAAGCTCTTTTGGGAGACCACTTTGATCACTGGCAAATTGCAGAGCGACTTTCGCACTTTCGATTTTTGCGCGAAACTGTTTTGCCCGGTTTCTTTGTGAAACACTATAACCGCGCATTCTGAGCCCATTTTTGAAATTCTCACTCAATTTTAAATAGTTTTGCAGTTTTAATTATCAAATTTGGCCCAGAAACAACCGAGAACGTGATTTGGAGGTGACAACAGGCAATTTCAAAATTGCGACTCCCGCGCCCCTCGGCGTACAAAGGCCTCCGACGTACAATGCTCCGACTTTCGGGCCGTAATTCAATTTTTGGCATTTCGGAGCCCCTTTAAGGAAAGCGTCTTTTTAGCATTACTCTTTAGAAGTTTGTCTTACCTAAAACCACGGAAAGAAGCGGAAACCCAGCGCCATGGATAAAGGCCGAGATGCCGCCGACAACCACAAGCAAATAGTCACGTTTCTTGAGGTAGGAGAGCTAGAACATTTTTTTGGAAACGTTTGAAGCTGGGTGCATAACATTAATTATCTGGAAAATGCGACCAGATACGCGTACAAAACTTACGATGCTCGTCGATTCCCTCGCCGATTTTTGCCGCATTTTTCCAAGGGGCCAAGTCGAGCGAGGCTAGGGAATTAGAAATAGGACATCATTTAGCAAGAAAGAATGAAGAAAAACAAATAAAAACATGCTATTTTTTTTGGTAAGCGTTCGATACTAAACGATTCCTTAAAAACTGTGAACTCAGCGCCGTCCTGTTAGCTTGAGCAAGCAGCAGTAGAAACCTGCAGTTTGCATGTATTTTGGTTCTAAAGTTTGGTCAATTAAATGCCAGAATATTGAAATACGAAAAGTGCTTTTTCTTACTCGCCGTTCCGAGAGCTTTCGATAGATACAAAAATCGTCAAAATTGAATACTTCTGAAGGGGTTGGTTTTTTGGGACACCCTGTATAATAATGCGCGAAATAATTAATTCTCTTCATAAAATCCGTAAGCACACCAAGCTAACAAAATTTTCAAGCCCAGAATCGTAAGAGTAGCGCTAGTAAATCAATATTATCGAGACGAGGCGTGAAAATGAGTCGGGGTATGATCTCAAAGATCCCAGAAAGGTGACAAAAACGGGGATAAAAGGCAGAGAAATGATATCGGGCGATATCGGATGATGAGGGCGCCAGGGAAATGTGGGACCAATTTTTTTCGAACGCTTTTTAAAGGGTAGAGACGAGATAATACTGATAAAGATAAGTCTTTTCGGTTCTTTCGCATTATCGGGGGGGGGGGGAACCGACATTTTTGGTATAAGTCTAGAAATGCCTAGTAGCTTAATAGAAAGTATTTTAATAGTTTTCTCAGTGATATATAGAACTATAATTCAACTAGAAAAACGATCTAAAAGCTTTAAAATTTTGAAAAAGAAGACATTTTGATTGAAAAAAATCGCCGTTTTTGGGGGAAAAAATCGATATTTTTTCATAGGAATTTGTAAAGTTTTTGTGTTGACGAATAGTACCAACCATTTAGAAACACTTCCAATATTTATATTTGCAAAATTAGATCCTAAGAAAAAGTTTGCCCCCCGTCGATAATGCGAAAGATCCGTCTTTTAAATCAGAAAAATTGGCGCCGGGTGTTATTCTGTCGAATCGCGATCCGAAATTCGTAGCAAAGATTTATCGATCGAAAAACCAATAAATCTGCATGTTTTTGGGAGACGCTTCACACTTCCGCACTTCGCAGCGTCTCGGCAATTCGCACGCAGTGACTCTGGATGCGACGCAGCTGAAATGAGATGCATTGTTCAAAAAACACAACGGAATCCAAAACCCCCGCGGCCCTCGCCCTCGACCCTCCTCGCCCGCCCCCGCCCTCGACCTAAGGTATCTCGGCTCAACAATGTGCTACAGGGCTGTAAATTATCCCAGAATGCTCGCCACAGCATGATGAGCATTTTGAGAAACTTTAGAACCCTGTCGGCCCATGGAAAGTCGAAGTATGGAAGTTGAGGGTTGGCAGGGAGAGGGGCAAACTGCGTACTACAAAGAAAACCTACATGTCGACATCGATAGCCATAGACACAGTCTGAGTCGAACTCGCAAAACATGATCTGGTCTGGAAACGGGATCAACTTAGAAAGAAATTGAGTCAGCCGTTGACATTCAAGCGTTTTACGTCCAAACAGGGGCAAAAGTTCATGCGGCGCGGTCGCGTTGCGGCCGCATCTGGCTATTCGCCAGGAACCAACGCAAGGGGCCGTGGACCCGATTTCGGGGCGCATTTAATTTACCGCACACTTTAACTCCCTTTTTTAACTTTCTGTTTAAAGGGCTGCCGACGGCATGTGTCGATCCCCCCCCATCAACAAATTGGCAAGTAGCCAACAGGGGAGAGAGCGCGCCCAGGGGAGAGGCGCAGAGACATTTTCTTTACCGCGCGTAACCGATTCGCTATGCCGTCGGCATCCCTTTAACGTACCCTCCGGCATTTGTAGGTTACAGTTCTCGCCGGTCCACCCGAGGTCGCAAATGCAGGCGTTCGTCCGGAAGTTCTGATAGCCATTGCCGGAGCAGTGGAGGCTGAACGGGCCGATGTCTGGGAGATGGGGTGGGGAAACTGACATGTGCATTGTACGGGCACGGCCCACATTACGACCCAATATCACCTCCTCACCCACCAGCACACCGCCGTGACTTTCTGAAAATCCATCCATTTGTAGGCTGCTGCCTTTTTGGGTTCTGGACTGTTAGCGGGGGGGGGGGGATTTTTAGCAGGGGGGGAAAACCACTTTTGTTTTTTTACCTATACCTACCTGTTGTTGATGTATTATCTATTTTTTTAATATTTTTATTAGTTTTTGACTGCTAAAAAGTTAGCAAAAATATTTTAAAAATTTTGAAAATTCGAAATTGTTGACTTTCTTGGCCATTTTTCGAAAATTTATTATGTTTTTATATTGTTTTTATATCTAAAAACTATGTAAAATGCTATAAAAATGGTTTATATCAACTATAATAATTTTGCTGTGGTCTCCGTCCGTCCGTCTGTCTGAAGCCGAATTCAACTCGAAGGGGAAATGAGCTAGAGCTTAGCTCTCTTCGGATTCGGATAGAGCGTGGTCAGAAACCCCCAAACTGATAAAAAAATTATGAAAAAGTTTTTGTTTAAATTATTAAAATTAACTTTGAAAGTTTTTCCTTAGTAAAAGGGGTGGGGGCCCCTCTCCCGGGAGGCCACGCCCCCTTTCCCTTCGCCCCTCTTCCCCAGGCCCCTTCCCGCGCCCAGATAGCTTTTTTAAGTTACTTTAATACTTTTTAATACTTTTAATACTTTTTAATACTTTTTAATTATGTTAATTAATTATTTAAATCATCTAAAGCCATCGGGAAGGTATTTAGGTAGTTTTTGAAGGGGATTTCAGCCATGGGGGTTATCTAAAGCCCTCGGGAAGGTATTTAGGTAGTTTTTGAACGGGATTTCAGCCATGGGGGGTATTGATGGAGGTGGGAAAGGATGTGGTGGAGTGGGACATGTAGGGTAGCCCGAAGGCCAGATGGTTGCAGTCGCGAAGCGACTGTAACCATTTGGGGACCGGGCAGAGACGCAGAGTTCTGTCTGCGTCTCTCCTCTGGGCGCGCTCTTTCTCTCCCTGCCGCGGCGCACCCGACCGCGACGCTTCCAAGAATCGTGGAAAAAGGGGCTTGCTGCCAGACGCCCTTTAAATATAGTTGCTTTAAATATAGTATAATTTGCTAAAAACACTATAAAACATTTTTTATTAAGCTACTTGACATTACGAAAATTATACAAAAAATTCGTTTCCTCCCCCCCGATACTGCGAAAGATCAGATGCTCTTTCACTTCATATCACATAGCAAATAGGCTTAGTGCGAGGCTAGGCTAAGATTAAGCGTGGGCTTCAGCTTATTTTTAGACAAAAAAAATTCTGAACAAACCGGTAAAGACGATAGTTTTCGGACGTGCATGCAGTAATGTAGGCACGAGCAGCAATATTATGGCCCGCATTTAGATGGGGGTGAGGCGCGTATAAAGTGCGGAATATGGAATTGTTATCAGGTTCCTCTCTGTCTCTCTCTCTCTCTCGCGTCCCGGGAATAGCCTCAGGGCACACCGACTGCACAAATTATTTGCTCCACGCTGCCGTTTCACTATTTGTGCACAATCGCCCCGGTTTTGTCGTTCGTTTCTTCTTATTGGTTGTTTGATGCCGTGGCTGAGGAAATACTCGCATTCTCCTAACAGCGTTTTTCAAGAAAAAAAAAATCATTTTTTGGTACTTTCGTATTATGGGGGGCATTTTTTTAGGCCTCCCAATTTTATGAAGTCGGTCCACGTCAAAGCAGGGTCTGTTTCATCAAGCGTTGATAATGGATTGGGGGAAAAGGGCCTGCCCTTTCTCGAACCCATTGACCTGTTGGCTCATTGGTTTTGTGTTCGCTTGCGGCGCACAAGGTCCGGGTTCGACCCCCGGCCCTCGCAAGGCTTTTTGCTTTTTGATAAAAAGCTAGAAGTTGTATCTTTCTTTCATAGTGTTTCAGCCGGGCGAAATTTTGCTGAGATTTTTGGGTAAAAAACCCGATATTTCCTATTTTTTCGTAGATTTTTGCCATGTTTTACGTTTAGGCTAATAAAATACAGTTTTCTAGAATTTCGACTTCTATTTTTACACAGAAAACTTGGTTTCTTAAGGAAAAGTTCGGAATCTTACGGAAGTCAGGCTTAGGGTTAGGCTTAGGCTTAGGCTTAGGTCGGTGTCTGTGTCTGTCGATGTCTGTCGATAGAAAACAAGCGTTTATTCGACAGGCGCGGCCTCGAAGAATTCAATTAACCACCACAGAGTCACGTATCGATATCATTACATAGCGAAAAAAGAGAGGGAGAGACAGATAGAGAGGGGCATAGATAGATCGTAGATAGAAGAATGCTTGGGACGCGAGAAGGATTTGTAGATGAAGCTTAAGTGGAAGCGAGTCGATCGATCACGGCCCGTTCGGCGGCTCTTCTAAACTAGAATTGGTGTATCAAGTCGGGAAGTCTATACCATCAAATAAAGTATACCAATATGCTCGCCAGAGCAAGAGAAACATTTTGGTATGCTTTTCATGTTTTTCCGTGTTGATAGAAAACCTAGGGGTTGTACCTCGGGCGGCGTCGGGGTGATCGGTGTCGTGAGGCTTGTCCGTCGGCTGCAAAAGATGGATGCTGGAGAGAGAGAGAGAGAGACGGACAATAGAGAGCGAGAGAGAGAGAGAGTAAGAGAGGGGTAGGAGAGAGCGAGAGATAGAGAGAGACAGCGAGAGAGAGCGAGAGACATAGAGAGAGAGAGCGAGCGAGCGAGAGAGACCATGGCCGAGAGAGAGAGTTCACCCCTCCCCTCCCCGCTAACAGTCCAGAACCACACCTGGCCATTCGCCGAACGCCTCATCTCCTCGGAATCGGGGCAATCGGCCATTTCAGACGGTGGCCCATCGAAGAGACCGCGAGCCGTTGACACCTCAGCCTCATCCACCAATGCCACAGCCTCCTTCACATCCTTTGATGGGGTATCAGAGATGGGCCGAGACGTGTCCGTGTCCCCTCCATTTTCCATCGCCTCCTTCACCACGCGGGCATCCTGGAAGTGGAAACTAGAAAAAACTATCTAATAACTCGCATAAATTTGAAATTTTGGTGAAAAACACGGCCATTTTCGTCGCAAATCGATATTTTTTTGCATTTTTTACTAAAAACCGTTTAGGAACCTTAATACAGTTTAGAAACACTTCCACTATTGATTTTTAAAAAATTGGTTCCAGAAAAATCCCCCGATAATGCAAAAGAACAGTTTTCGTAGGTCGAAGGATTTTTGGGGTGGGGACGGCTTCCGTTTTCGACTGCCGCACCTCCTTGGAGCTCTGATGCGGCGTCCGGAACCGCTGGTACCCCTTGCGGAGCTTCGTCTTCTTTTTCTTCTTCTTCTGAAATGGTGGGTCGTTGGAAATTCAGATTAACACGTAGGCGGAAAGATCAAGGCCTCTCTCTGTCTCTCCCTCTCTCCATCTCTCTCCCTCTCCCTCTCGCTTGCTCTTTCCCTCGCTTTCTCTCTCTCTATCGCCCTCTCTCTACATATATCCCTCTATCGCCTGTCTTCGTATACCGAGGATCCATTGCTCTTCGATCCCTTGCTCTTGGCCCCGGATCGCTTGCTTGATGTGGCACTTTGCGGGGGCGACTCCTTCGACGTTGTCGACTCGTCCTGCAATGTCATAGAATGGTTAAGAGCGAAAAAAGAAAAGTAAAGACAAGAAAAGAAAAGACTTCCGATACCTTGGTGGCCTCCATCGAGTTGATCGGCTTCGCGCCCTAAACACGGGAGGTTGACAGCATCCAGGCGCTCACTAGTTCTTTGGCATTATTGGGGGGACGTTATTAAGTTTTTTACCGCTGATTTAAAATTAAGCGAAAGCTAAAGGTATCTATAAAAATACCAATTAGAAAAAACGGCTCAAGTCTAGGAAACCCCCCCCCCAGCCGACTTTCAACTTTTCTACCTTCCTTATTTTTATTTTCACTACTTTTTCGACTGAACTGCAATGTAGTCTTACTAATTAGCCTACGACGAACATTTTGGTATACTTTAGAGCTCCAGCACAGAGGGGGCCGGATACAAAAGTTGGTGCCGGCTGGGGGGTTCTAGACTCTTACCGAAAAAACCAAACTTAAAGTTTAAGTCGAATATGGCACATTTTCCGCTACGAAAATCGATATTTTTAAGTTTTAATGTAGTTTTATTATAAAAATCGATCCCATGAAAAGAGTTGCCATCCCCCGATATTGCAAAAGCTCCTTCTCACCTTCTGCCCGTTATTCGTCGCATCCGAAGGTGGCGGCACGCCGTTGTACCACCAGGTCACGAAACCGCCGATCATCCTGCAAAAAGGCTTTAGAAAACCGGAATCATGTGGTTCTAGCCTGTTAGCGGGGGGGGGGTAACGGGTTTAAGCTCATATCATCCCAGCACCCTTTTGAATTTTACAGTGTATTTTTATAGTTTTTTTACTAGACTATAAAATGGTCAAAGATTTTGGAAAGAACAAACTCGAAACTCGACAAAATCAGAACAAGATTTGCATATACGAAAGGATGAAGAACGAAAAAACATACCAGCCGAAATGTTGGTGCGCGCGGGAACGGCACGTCGTCTGGGGGGTGATGTGCGAATTTTTGCAACGAAAGAGGCGCCTTATGGAACCAGGGATTCAAATTTTCATTCAAATTTCAATTTATGCGAAAATGGTGCTTTTTCTTTTTATTTCGGTCGCCTACCTCCATCCCTCGACAGAATCTCGCGCGGGGCTCCATCGAACCGGCTTGAAGCGCTGCTCTAACAACAGCGATGAGGCTTCGGCTTAGGCTTTAGCTCAGGCTTAGGTTCAGGTTTGGAGGTTGACCCGGGAATAGAAACAAAAACGCGAGAGCTTACTATGATCTCGCGGAAATCTCTTCGATGCAGTGATTTCAAATTTTGATTTGACTGTACATGTCATGGCCAGGGGCGTAGCCAGAAATGGTAACGATACCTATCAACCCTATAAAATAGAGAAAATTGAAGATATTATTAAACGACATCTGAATACACAAGCTATTTACCAGTTAAATATTCCAGATCTACCAATTTTACCTAAAATCTATGGCCTACCTAAATTTCATAAAAACCCTATTAAATTTAGATTTATTACTGGGGCCTATAATAGTTCTATCAAGCCAATGTCAGTATGCTTACATCAAATTCTTAAATTTATAAGACAACACTTCCAACGATACTGCTCGGCTATAAACTCTAACACTAATAAGAAGGTATATTGGTCTATAGACAACTCAAATCAGGTTAACTTACTAGATAACACGGATAAAAGCAACATTTTCATAGCTGATTTCAGTAGTCTCTTTACCAACCTTCCTCATGATATTGTTAACACCGCTATTAATGGCTTACTAGACATTTGCTTCAATAATTCTCAAAAAACTAGTATTAAATTAGGTTACAAAAATTGTTATTACACTAATGACAATGATGGTAACAATACCTACCAGAAAAAGGATATAATGTACTTAGTTAATTACATTCTTACTAACAGCTTTGTGACCTATAAACAAAATCTATTTCAACAAAAGCTAGGAATACCTCAAGGTCAAAACTGTAGTCCAATGTTAGCTGACCTTACTCTCACTTACTTTGAATACATATTTTTGAAAGATAATTACTCTAGAGACGTGAGTGGTCACCGATACATGGATGATATCCTTATTCTACATAAACCTAATGTTGATGTTGTCAACTTCTTATCAAAAATATATCCTAAGGAGTTAACTTTAGAACAAACTAATCATTCCATAAACTGTGGCAACTTCCTAGATTTGAAACTTTATAGTCAAAACAATCTCATTAATACCGAATTGTATAATAAAGTAGATGACTATAAATTTATTGTTACACGCATGCCTAACTATTCATCTAATATCTCTTACGGTATTAAACATGGTTGCGTGGAAGGTGAAATCATTAGGGTTATACGTCGTTGTACTCAGTTAGAAGACTGCCTCAAACATCTTCAACTTTTAATAACCCATCTTAAAAATAATGGTTATCCTAATCAAATTTTGAGACAACTTTGTCAAAAAGTCCTCAAAAAATCTCCTTTACTGAGTCTCAAATATGACATTAACCCTAAAAACTTCATCCACCTTATCAACAACCCCAACTCTAACTAATTTATTTTAATTCTTTACTTTTCTTTTAGTTTTTTCTACCTTTCGTTTTCTAATTTCACTTTTCCCTTCTTCCTTTTGGCCTAACCTCCCATTACGCTACCCTACACACCACTCCTTTCGACACGGGCTTTCCCCGGCTCTCCCCGAGCTAAGGAAGCCTCCCAACGAGGGCCAAAACATAGAGAAGGAAAACACATAAAATAGTACACCATTTAAATTAGCTTTTTTTTCCTTCTACATTTAATTCTTTATACTTTATTACCTAACTCTTCCAACTATAATCTCATCTAACCTCTTTTATTTAACCTCTAAAACGTCAGGGATCCAACTGAGGAGACCCACCCTGACGTATTTTAAGCCTGTCTTGGATTGAGGGTCGAAACAGGCACATCTTTCTTTCTTTATCCTCTTAAATGCTCGTTTACGAGTACCCGCCTCACCTTCATGGTGGGGTTTGTGTCCTTCTGGACAACCCGCTTGCTCTCGTAGCAAGTTTGTCCCTTCGGGGAACCGTTCGCTTCGGCGAATTTGGCCTCTTCGGAGGCATTCGCTCGCTTCGGCGAGTTCTTTCCCCTCGGGGATTTCTTTTCTTCATTTAATTAATATATACATATTAGTTTATTATGGAACCAGGGATTCAAATTTTCATTCAAATTTCAATTTATGCGAAAATGGTGCTTTTTCTTTTTATTTCGGTCGCCTACCTCCATCCCTCGACAGAATCTCGCGCGGGGCTCCATCGAACCGGCTTGAAGCGCTGCTCTAACAACAGCGATGAGGCTTCGGCTTAGGCTTTAGCTCAGGCTTAGGTTCAGGTTTGGAGGTTGACCCGGGAATAGAAACAAAAACGCGAGAGCTTACTATGATCTCGCGGAAATCTCTTCGATGCAGTGATTTCAAATTTTGATTTGACTGTACATGTCATGGCCAGGGGCGTAGCCAGAAAAAATTTCGGGGGGCCCGAAATTTTTTTTCGAAAAACTCAAAAAATTAACGAGAAAACAGCGCCACAGGCGAAAAATTTTGAAAAAAAAGGCATAGAGCTCTACAAATAGCGGTAAAAACGTGAAAAACTAGCGCCACTAGCAGCAAAATTTTTGAGAAAATAAAAATCATAAGGGCCCCGGCCGATTTCGGGGGGCACCTTACGCTACGTCCCTGGTTATGGCTCATTCGAAAGCGCTATTTCTGCGGCACAAGATGCACTAATAGGTTGTGGCAAAATTCCATTCCCCGGCTCCTTACAGCCCCGATAAAACACGATTCTGGACGATTTTGCAAAATTTGAAGCCTCATAACTTTTTCTCCGTTTTGTTTAGCAAATTTTGATTACAGATTCGGAATCCCCGAGTTTGACTCTATCAGACCCACTGATGTTGAGAAAGAAATGCCACTGAATGAGAAAGAAACTCACTTACTGCTGAAACTTGGCTAAATACTTTTGCAATATACAAAATACGGTATTTGACGCTTATCGGGGGGGGGGGAGGTATCCCATTTTTATTTTTAGCTTCTACCTGCCTACAGAGAAATTGTGGCGTAATTTCAGAGTTTTTATAGTTTTCTATGTAAAGATAAAGATTAGCATCCAAACTCAATTTTCCGGTAATTAGAATGAGAACTTGGCAAGAATTGCCCTCCAAAACCCGTCATTACCACGCTACAGCCCGATACCGGCGGCCCAGTACCCGATGGTAGCTCGCGCTCGTTGGCTCGCGTCGGCTGATGCTCGCCGTCGAGGGTTATTCTGGCTTCTCCTCTTCTGCTGCATTTCCGTCAACAACAGCAACCTGGCTAACGAGTATGTGAGCAGGAATTTACGAGATTGGTTTCCTAGAATTCACCATGCTTCCAATGCTCCACCCTCCGGCTCGACAGCTTCTCCAGCCCCCAGTTCAACGGTTGTTCCTAGCCCCAACATTCCCCCGCCGGTATCATTTTTTAACTCATAGTTCCAACGCAAAACTTTAGTGTGCCCACCACCGTCCGTTCCTTTGCTATGCCTACGAAGGTCTGAATCAGCCCTATCCGGAATGGCTACAACAATCTGACGCAAAGGTTTCTATTGACATATATAATTGTGACGAATATGATTTAGTGTTCGCCTTGTACTATGGATACGCCGTGTGACAATACGAAAGCAGTTACCGGAAACGTGGACGATGCGAGAGCTCTTGTCGTTGCAAAATGTCGGCCCCAGTTTTGCGTAAGCATTTCAAGCCCTTCAAATCCGTCAAATTTGGGTAAGACTCTAGTTTACCCCCCCCAGACGCCCCTTTTCTCTACGCCCTCTGCCCCAGGCCTACTATCTCGCCTCGGGCGGGTGGGGGGGGTAAACTAGAGTTTAGCCCCCCCCCCCCAGGCGAGATATATTAGAAATTTGGAAACATTTTTTTTGCTGCCCCCTCCGAAATGTCGCTGCCCCCCCCCACCCGAAGCTTGGGGTCAGCTACGCCCCTGCCTGCCTACATCCTACCGATGGTGCCAAAATGTAGCTATTGCGCCGTAGAATAATGCTACAGTACATTTGAGTAGAAAAAATAGCGAAAAAGGCATATATTGGGGGGTTTGAAACTAGTAGTACATTGAGTCATGGCGACTTAATCTTTTCATATTTTGAAATCTTGTAAAAAATTTTCCTAGCAATTTTCGGCTTCAGGAAACAAATTCAGGAAAATTTTTGGTTCTTGAGTATTCCCGGGGGGGAAAGAATTCGTGGGGGGGAACCTTTTTTCTGTTTTTTTTTCGGGCACTTTTTTTCTGTTGGCCCTGGTGGGCATAGTAATCAAATATAAAGTGTTTTCACATTGTTTTTAGCAAAACTCCCCCCCCCCCCGGGAATACTCAAGAACCAAATTTTTAAGGTAATTCGACCACGCCGAAAATTTTGAGAAACTCGGCGCATTAATAGGTTGTGTGGCTGTGGTGCTGGGCTGGGGGAAGGGGGGGGAGGGGTAAACTAGGCTCTTACCTGTACCTGAATTCCGATAACAAAAAATGAAAAGCGCTAGCTGTCTCTTTATATAGGTTCCCGCCATTCCCGGCGGATGCCAATTTTTTCCAACAAAGGTTTTTTAGGTCACCTTTTTTAGAAAGACGAAGGTGCTTCGGCCGTCGAGACGGATTGCATCCAGCCTGTATCCGTGAATGGAGGTACACGATCTATTAATGCACAGTCCAGAATAACGCCGGCACACCGATACATCACTGCCGATACATCTCCATTTTTAGAAAAAGTCTTCTTCCCGTTCAATGTGTGCACGCGAGAGATGGTGGCGTTTGGAGAGTGTGACGGCAAAAAGCTGTAGCTACTTTCGACCGAATTAACCCTCGATACAGGAGCACGCAATTGTTCGATCCCACCTCCAACCAACTCTCCACCAAGTACATGATGCAATGTGATGCTGGATTCACGCTCCCGGCGTAACTGATTTAGAGCGAGGCTCCGATTAAAGACCGTCAGAACGATGAAATTCCGTTGAGAGCAAGAAAGTTGCGCACCGGGCGGGAGTCGAACCCGCGATGGTTCGCTCCACAGTCCGACGCGCTAGCCACTACACCACAGGGCCAAGTGGGGAAGGGAGTCAGAGACGCCCCAAACCCCAGAGGGCCTTTGCCCAGTACGGGACACCACTAATCACGCATCTCTCCGCGCATTCTTGGGGGCAGCACCCTCGGGGTGACAGTGCGCGTTCCATCGTTCTGGTAGTCTTTAAAGCCGTTTTAGGTTGGTCGTTGAGGCATATGAAGCTGACAAAAGCGATTATGCCGACCGTCAGAAATTGACATGCGTGCCGAGTCTTCAGCAGGCCGCTGGTTTCCTGAAGGATGATCCATCTCCCCTTCAAAACTATCCCTACGACGTGTCCGACCTTCTCGACTTCACGGTAACAATATTTATAAAGCCTCACAGTTTTCCTCTTTTTTTTAGTACTGTGAGAAGGGAGGTCGACCCCATAAGAACAGCACGTGCCAACCATTGCCACTATGCGGACAAGACAACAAGGCGTAGGTGGCTCTAGAATTGCAATCGCTATCTTTTAGTCCAACACCACCTTTCCAACCAGGAACCGTACAAGCTGCTCCGGACTGTGATCTGCCATGTCACTACGAATATGGGCGGATGAACTACAGCGACTGTGTCTTTCTTGACATCGTCGATGCTGGTGCAAGGCGTTCATTTTCGGCACAGCGCGGAATGGTAGATTTTTCCTTGTCCACTATACTGGTTTACAGTCTGGGCCTTGGGCCGAATTCATGAACGAGAAAGAGACGGTGCTGGTTGACCTGGACCGGGGTATCGTACCGGAAACGAAGCCTGATGGTCGCCGGCAACGGATGGACTACCGCCACATCGAGGTTTGTTCGAACGCTTTTGGTGACAGCTCTTTAGCGAAAATTCCGGTCTGACGAGGCCCAGCTAGGGTTGTTATATGAGTTGACTTGAATGCAAGTTAACTTGCCAAAAATTATGCAAACTGCGACTTGCCTTCGAGTTTACTTGAATGATTTGAGCTCATTTTCGTGCAAGTTATTTTCAGGCAAGTAAACTTGGGATGCAAACTCAACTCGATGGCAAAATAACTTGCCAAGTTTTGACTCGAATGCTGGCAAGTTTTTTTGGTGGCAACTCAACTTGCCATGCAAACTCAGTTTGATGGCAAGTTAACTTGCCTGCAAAATAACTTGTCGGAAGTCGCGGGATGTTAATTTATGCAAAATCGAAATTGTAAGCTGAAATAGACAGTATGGCAATTCCCAGACATGGATCCTGGCGGAAAATGCCGACAGTGTCCATAAATACCGTGTCTAAAAGACCGGAATACCGAAAACCACATTAATCTCACATCCACGTGTCGTAAATGGTAAAATCGTTAAAGTTCTCGATCTACCAGGGACACGGCATTATCGAGTTTGACCAGAGATCAAGTTTGGCTAATTGTCGGCATTTTCACTATTTCGCCAATGGTCAGACATTCCGTAGTCGTTCGGTATTATTTTTTCTTTTGAGAGGTTTTTTCTTCGCGCGGTGCGTTGTTAAAGCATTTGTCGGTATTTCGGTCTTTTAGACACGGTATTTATGGACACTGTCGGCATTTTCCGCCAGGATCCATGTCTGGGAATTGCCATACTGTCTATTTCAGCTTACAATTTCGATTTTGCATAAATTAACATCCCGCGACTTCCGACAAGTTATTTTGCAGGCAAGTTAACTTGCCATCAAACTGAGTTTGCATGGCAAGTTGACTTGCCACCAAAAAAACTTGCCAGCATTCGAGTCAAAACTTGGCAAGTTATTTTGCCATCGAGTTGAGTTTGCATCCCAAGTTTACTTGCCAACAAAATAACTTGGCCGGATCAAGTAAATTTCCTGGCAAACAAACTTGCGTGCAAGTCAACTCATATAACAACCTTAGGCCCAGCAGATCATACGGATGTCCCGCGAAGACCAGAGCCAGCGGACGATTCGCTATCCTAAATGCATCAACTCGGCTTTGTTGATGGCAAGTTGTTGCGGGAAGTTGGATATAGATTTGAAAGGCGGATCTGTCCTACTATCTACAAAAAAAGTGTCTGTGTGTGCCACCTTGCATCCACTTCCGTATTGATGTTCTAGTCATATCTCAAGAAGGGTACGGATCTAACCGCTTATGCTACGTCATCAGGGCTCCCCGACATTTGCGGCCCGACCATTTACGGCCCGACACTTGCGGCCCGACATTTGCGGCCCGTCACTTGCGCCCGACACTTGCGGACGCGACATTTGCGGCCCGACATTTGCGGCCCGACACTTGCGCCCGACATTTGCGGCCCGTCCTATTAAGCTCGTTTTTCCCCAATAGAAAATTGAAAAGAAGGTTAGTAAGAGTCTAAAGCATTGCCAGGCATGGCGGGCCGTCGCTTCGGATGGGCTGCCGCTCCCACTCTTTCGAAATCGGGGCGCCTGGCCGCTACGCGCGCCTCGGGCGCCCCGATTTCGAAACCCTGTACGAGCTCGCACCCATCCGAAGCGACTAGGCCCCGGGTGGCACGAAGCCTTATTTTTAGGTCAAGACCAGGAGACAAGCGCTCAAACCCCGTTCAAAAAAACTAGCCTTCCGTGCGGTTAAAAGCTTCAGTTTTGGGTAATTAACTACAGCTTTGGGCCGCAATTATCGGGCCGCAAATGTCGGGCGCAAGTGTCGGGCCGCAAATGTCGGGCCGCAACTGTCGGGCGCAAGTGACGGGCCGCAAGTGTCGGGCCGCAAGTGTCGCGGCCGCAAATGTCGGGCCGCAAGTGTCGGGCCGCAACTGGTCGGGCCGCAAATGTCGTGGCACCCGTCATCAGGTGCGTAGTGGTCTTGAGATGATTGCACACATATCAGATCGGCTCAAGTCTCGGGACCCCCCCCCCAGCCGGAGAGACCCGCGAGATAGTAGGCCTGGGGGAGAGGGCGCATGCGGAAAGGGGCCGAGGGGCGCGCAATAGGCGGCTGGGGGGGGGGGGAGGGTTGCCTAGACTCTTACCATCAGATCTTTTAAAATTAGCCATTTTCAATATTAAATTTAAGTTTATGTAAAACCCTCTTTGTTAGAAAAAATTGACATAGTCCGGAAGTGGGGGATCGCCTATATAAAATGGGGTCAGGCGGGGCCAGGGTCGAAAAGTCGCGAAGCGGCTTTTCAACCCTGGTAAAAAGAGAATTTTTAAACAGTAGTAAGGGCCTCGTCTAGGCCCAATGACAAAAAGCTTATCGGTACCCGCTGATAAAAATGAGAACCCTCCTCTGTGGCTTGATGACATAGGCGATATCCAATTCTGGCACATGCAAATTTTGAGTTGGTAAGGATTTTTTTCTGACGGTCGTGCTTTCAGGAGATGGACCGGGAACGCGTCAAAGCCGATTTGATGCTGAACTGCCAGACCAATATTTTTGTGCAGCTGTTGGGTGAGGAAGGCATGGTGATGGAACCGCCTCCATGTGACCGTTACGAAGACTTGGTGGGCCTTTCATGCGCTTGCACCGTATTTCTATCGACTCTGCATGGCTATCGATGTTTTTAGCGTATCTGCTCAAATCGTGTTCAGCCTGTTTTTGACAATAGTACCCTGCCAGCTGCCGATGTCAATTACCGTTCGTCTCACTGTCGTTTGTTAACTTTCTCTTGATACACGTAGTGCTCAGTCCTAATCGTCACTGGGCTTTTTCGAAGAATTTTTTATTTCTATTTGCCTCAATTCGCCGCTCCCGTTTAAACGCATAGGCTCAAGCCTAGGACCCCCCAGCCGGAACTTTTCGGTAATGCGTGGAATATCTCAAAATGTTCGCCATCGTCGAAAATGGTACCAAACTGTAGCTCTTGCTCTGTAGAATAAGGCTACAGTGCATTTGAGCGGAAATCAATGGCAAAAAATGGAAACTTTTGAGTTTAAAATTTAAAATATAATCTCTAGTAATCGCGACTTCATCTTTTCAACTTTTAAACTTTTGTGAAAAATTTTCTAGCCATTTTTTATGTCGAGAAACAACTTTTGTATAGGAATTCGACCACGGCGAACATTTTGAGATACTTCACGCATTAAAAGCACGTATGGCTGAAAAGTTGCGGCTGGCGGCGGGGGGGGGGGGGGTCCTAGACTCTTACCAACCGATGATGTTTGTGAATTTCTTTAGACTTCGAGGTGACCATTAGCACTGTGCTCCTGGCCACTTTTATTGCTCTAGCCTCGCTGTATTGCGTATATCGGAAGTGAGTCTTGCGAATGAGCACCTTGATACCACGCGCAATCATAGGCTCACCGAATGGCCTGCCGAACCGTTGCCATCTTCCCATGTTGCGGCGAACATCGCGCTCGAGGACCAAATACTTGAAGACGATTGGATGGACAAATTTGACCATGTGGTGATTGTTTATTGTCATGCTATTATCGTTTTCTTTACTCTTCACGCAGGAATTTGGTTGCGGGCGTGTAGCTCACTATTTAGCACGTTTCAAGACGCATACGGGCCGATGCATCGTGCTCACTCTCAGGCTCTCCCAAAAAAAAGTGCCCCCCTCTAGCGGTCCGGAGGAAGCTCGGATTAGGATGGTTCTTACACCATTCGAAAGCCCTTGAAAAGGCGAGAATACAAGCGGTTTTCATTTTCTTAAAATGGTTAGAAGTTTCTTGCTATTAAACATTTTGCTAAAAAACGCGTGGTTTTCTCCGTCAAAATCGCAGTTAACATGCGGATCAAACGGCTCCTTGCATGGTTTTTGGTCATAAAAATGCACAATTAAATCACTTAATCTAGAAACTGAAAAGCGCTTGTCTCTCGTCCTTTCGAGAGCTTTTTTATAGATGCCTAAATCACCAAAATCGGAGCGGGTGTTTTTTTTGGGACACCCTATATAAGTATAGAAGCAGTATCGCTTGTTTGCAACCAAAACTAAAAAAATCCTTGAGCTTAAAATTTTCCGAAATAGCAAACTCTTCTAAGTAAACGCTATAACCTTGCCCCTCTGGCTAACATCCTAACCCTAAAGCTCGCTAGGCGTTTTTTTAGATCAGCGGAAAACCAGCTCCGCGCCCTCGGCGAGGCAAGCTCGGCTTTGCGCACGAAGGGCATATCGCATTGCAGCTCAGGCTGCTACCAAATCTGGTAAGTATCAGATGGAGTCGAAATGATAGCAGTTGGTACTGGACCGGACCGACGCCTCAAGAAACTGATTATAATTACTGATATGTTCAACTTTTTTGAAAATTTGAGATTTTCACCATCTCTTAGGCATAAAATATATAATAAACCATAAAATAATACAATACCCATAAACCACCAACAACAAACCACCATCAACACCATAAAATCGTCTGGTTTGCGTTACACAGACGTACGGGATTATTTGGAAAATTTGGCCCCTTCCCGCTATGGGTACAGTACCATAGCAGCTTGCCTAACAAGGTGACATTGATCGTTTTTACGTGATATTTGATTTGTTGAGTGAGGAGACCTAGCTAGTTCGATAGAGATAAAAATTTTGAGCAAGATGTCGTTTTCCAAATCTGCTAATCGTGTACGGTATTTAATAAAAATTAATTTGAAATTCATTAATTTCGCCATCATTCTCCGCCTGATCCGCAGTTTCTGCTCTCTGGGTGTGCGTGAAGAATTCCCACATCAGGCCACCATGGAGATGCTAGTTCGCGTTGCGGTCTAAACCTCGGGTCTGCTGCCACGGTTGGCAGCGTGGCTCCAAGAAATTTTTTCTTGACAATTATTTTTTATTGAATTCCGTACACGGTTAGCAGATTTAGAAAACGACATCATGCACATATTTTTTTCTCTATCGAACTAGCTAGCTCCCACTCGAAAACTGCAATATCACCTAAAACGAAGAAGGCAGCACGGGGGTTTTGATTTATCATCGGATTTCCTCGATTTTCAGCCCGCTGGAGTGCCGCTGGAGAAGCAAATCATCAGCGGAACACCCGATGACGCTTTGGCCATCGCGAAAAAGTATTTCAACGAACTGGCACACGGCTACTATGTCTCGGAGAGAAATGGGATGGTTTGCGATCTACAGAGAACTTCATCGTATCGACATATTCAGCCGAGGAGAACGTTCGACCATGCGGAATTGCAGACGCTGTTCGACCACGCTAGAAATATCGTCAAGTGGACTGATGGCGTCGCCCGCATCACTGGCGCTACTTGGATCATTGGAGATATAAACGGTGATGTGAGTATTTTGTGAAAACCTGGTGTGTCGGCAGGCAGTAACTTCCGGCCCATTCTACAACTAATGACGTTTCTTCCCGATCCGAAAAAAGCCTTATTGAGATCGTTATGGAAGTGTGTTAGCAATTGCACACACAAACACTTCGGTGCGTGCCGAAATGATAGGAGAATGGAGTTTTTTAGCCGTTCTCTCTGCCACCCTGCATTTTTTTACAAAACGGAATAGAAGTGTTGTAGCCTGAATAAAGACGCGCCTTTTGGTCTACTTGAAACGCTTCGACGATGCGGCATAAATTTTTATACGCAATTTAATAAAAATGGACAAAAACCGTAAGTAACAACATGGTAGGGGGAATCATTAACATAACATTTCCACCAACTACTTTTTTTCTTTTTGCATCTACTTCAACAACTTTCTGGGTGAATAGTAGATTCTGATTGATTTTAATTCAAGATTCATAGCAGGAAAGGATGTAAAGAGCGTATTTTCTGACCAAAATGTCAACCGGAAGAGGTCGGGCAACATTTGCTTCGAATATGCATCCACTATTCATACAGAAAGTTTCTGAAAGTGATATGTTAATGGCTCCCCTATCATTTGGTCACTTGTGGTTGTCGTCTATTTTTATTCGATTGCGTATAAAAATTCTATCCTGCATAGTCGAAGCGTTTCAAGTAGACCAACGGCTGCGTCTTCATTCAGGCTAAAAGACCTACTATTCGGCTGTACAACAAAATGCAGGATGGCCGAGCGAACGGCTAAAACTCCACTCTACCTATCATTTTGGCACGCGCTGTATTTTTGATAGTTAAAGCATATGACAAAACATCAATTTTTTTTGGCCAAAACCTCAGCAAATTTTCTTAAGAAGTTTTGTGGATCATTCTAGCGATTCTAGCGTAATGTTTCAATGAATTTAGTTCAACGCACTTGTGCGCGTGTTCGCCGCCTTCTCACAGAAGGCTTCCCCAGGACAGAAGTAGGCATTATCGGAGGAATTCCAGCCATAATCTCGACAGCCAAAATCCCTGCAGCCAAATAGGGTTTTTTGGCTGTCGGGAGGATGTTGGAGTTTTCCCTTCCCGGGGGTAAGATATCCAAAATTCCAGTATGCTGTTCCTGGGAGACATTGTCGATCGTGGAAAACGTCAGTTGATGTCGGTAGTGCTGATCGTCTCCGCCTACGTCCTCTACCCAGATAAGGTAGGGTTGCAGCTCTGCCTTATACAGGGTGTCCCAAAAAGCACCCCCACCCTGGCCGGCCGGCAGTCGCATCCGAGTTAGTAATCTATCGAACGCTCTCGAAAAGGGTCCGGCGCGTCTCTCCAATTTTCATTCTGGAATTTTCATAAATTTACTATGATGTTTGCTTACATGCTAATAGAAAGTTTCTTAAAGGGATAGCGAAAGTAAAAATCTGAGTGTTACTTGGACTTCTGGAATTGCACAGATGTTGCGCATCTGCACTCCAAAAAGGCCCTTTTCCGTCCAAAACATAGCCTGGGGGCACGCGTTACCAGATCGGATCCTGGGTGCTAATGCACTTGTGGGGGAGGGGCAGTCCGAATTTTGACTACAAGACGCTCCAAAATGCCGTTTTTAACCTCGAAGCCTCTGAAAAAGCTAAGCCAAGCCTAAGCCTGGGCGTGGCTTCATAAAAACGAAGTCTAGAGAGCTAAGCTGAGCTTGGCTCAAGATGCGAAAAAGATCCAAAAGGCGAAAGAACCAAATAGGGATTTACCGAATTGTATGCCTTTCCTTTACAACACCTTTTTGCAAGCTATTTGGGAAAACACTGCTGCGTCTAGCCCAGTTCAATAATTCTGTGCCAAAAGGGTCCCCTTTCGCATAAAAAATGTTACAAATCGAGCGAGAAATTCTGAATCTGAAGTATCTAAATCGCAAAAATCGCATCGTCTGCGGTCGGCTGGGGGGAAGGGGGGGGGTGGGTTTTTTGGAACACTCCCTTCTTCCACGGGGGGACCTTGTTAAGGTAGACTCGGGTCCACGACTACTCTATCCGGGCTTCCGCAGCAATATCGAACGATTGCAGATTTTCTACGTTCGCGGCAACCATGAATTGACCCCGGTCCATTTCCGATATGGCTTCACCCAGGAGGTCTTCGACGAGGGCTATACGTACCATTGTATCGACGCGGTCCGATCATTTTTCCAATTGCTGCCCCCATATGCCCTGATTGACAAGCGCATCCTGGCGATGCACGGCGGCCTTTGTAGGTTTCAAGCGTAAATTCGAGTGTTTAAAAGGGGCCTCAAAGTGCTAAAAAGTGCTAAATTATTCAAAAAGCATTTCAAAATTTAGTGTTGATTTTAGAAATGGGTCGATAATCTGTGAATTATCGTCTTTAAACAAAGGGCTCATCAATGCAAAAACAGTTTGGCGCAAATATCAAGAGGCAGACGGTTGTCCCGCGGCGGAACTTGCCAGAACGCAAAAACTTCGCCGAAATCCCCCGCTGCCGTCGGTGACCCAAGCTTATTTCAGGCCCCGAGTTCGAGCACGAGCTGATTCGAGACGGATTCGACCACACCGATGATCAATTCGAGGATCTGATTCGTGGAACTCTCTGGAGCGATCCCAATCATCAACAAGTCTGGTAGCGATTAAAGAAACATCCATCTCCCAATTTTATAAAATCGGTCCACGCTATAGCAGGCAGAATCTGTTCCCTATTGCGTGGATAACGCGCCTGGGGGAGAGGGGGGAAGAGGACCTATCCTGCCCCGATCCCCTCGGCCTGTTGGCACATTGGGTTGTGCGTTCGCTTGCCGCGCACAAGGCCTGGGTTCGACCCCCGCCGTGACCAGGATTTTTGATTTTTTATTAAAAGCTGGGTGTTGGATACCTCTTTCAAATGCAATGCGAAACAAAGGCTTGCAAGCGAAATATTCTTTCCTTTGAATTCGGATCTTTGCGAGCTGAGCGGTTCGGTGAGCTAGACATCAGGCGGCTACCCCCGGTCGGTCGCAGTCAATTTCTTGCCAAGAATCGGTTCAAACAACAACTCCAAAAAAGCAAAATTTGGCGTTTTCCTGTGTTTTTCTTGCTAGTTTTTTTACTTTGCAGTTACGGGTGGAACCACCGCCGCAATTTGGGCTATTATTTTGGCCATGCTGCGATTCAAGAGGTCCGTGAGAAGCTCGGCATCGACTTCATCGTTCGTGGCCATCAGGTTAATCCTTTGCGCTAACGGGGTTAAAAGAGACCAGGGTGGCGAAGCGGTTTCATCCACCTAATGGTTCAGATTGGCCCAGTAATTGACAAATTGTGTTTTGTATGGTTTTAGTAAGCTAAGTGACCAAAGCTAGCGAAATTGAAGTGGAAAAACTAACAAATGCCTTCGAAAAATTTTTGCTTCTTGCCAGTAGTCCAATACGAATTCTAAACAATTTTTATTGCATTTAACATAGTTTTAGTTCTAAATGTTCATCACAAAAATTCACAGAATTTTCGAAAATTTTTGGCTTTTTACTGATATGAAAAATACCTCCAAACGTCAAAATTTTTTTCAAATTTGGTGAATAACTTTCTGGAAGCCAAAAATTGTTAAAAAAGCTCTACAACTGCATTATATATTATCAACAAGGTAGGTATCAGGTGAACAAAAACAAAAAGTGGTCCCCCACTAGCAGCTGAGAACCAACATGTTAGTCGACGTTTTGGTCGAAAATCGACAATTCTTGCCCCCTAATATCGATATTTCTTTGTATTATTCTTTGAGAAATTACCGCGTCTAGAACAAATTTCGTTCGACGCTTTTGCATATTTATTTACGAAACCCAATAAGAAAAATGAAAAGCGTTTGACGACGTGTATTCCCTTGCTATCTAATTTAATTTAGAAATTGAACACCGGCATGCGGTTCTTTGGTGACTGGCTGATCTCGCTGCACACGACGGGCTTCCGCAGCCCGTCGAAAACCCCGGAGCAGCTAAAGCTGGAGCGCTCATTCTCCCCTGAAGGCACCGCGGCCCGGAAGAAGATCATTGCGGAAGCGGGGGCAGAGCCGGTATGGGAACACAGATATTTCTTCAGACGCCGGCTTCCGTAAATATTTTTATAGCGCCGAAAATGCGCGTCGGCGCAAAAAAGCGGAAATCACAATCCACTATAATAATTTTGCTGTGGTCCGTTCTGATCCGTCCGCGGAAGTCGAATTCAACTCGAAGGGAAAATGAGCAAGAGCTTATTAGGACTCAGCGCTTTTAGGCCCGGGTCCAGACAGGCAGTCCTGACACTTTCGGACGCCCGGTATTTGGATAATGTTCTAGCAAATTGAACAAATTACTAACATGGGAAGTGCACGACCGGCCCACGAGAAATCGACACGCGACATAGTGGATCTGATAGAATCGGACACGGGGATTCCGAATCTGTAATCAGAATTTGCTAAATAAAACGGAGAAAAAAGTTATGAAGCATCAAAGTTGGCCAAATCGCCAAAAACGGTACCTTTAAGGGCCCGTAAAAACCGGGGGAACGGAATTGAGGAGCAAAGAATTAGTGCATCTTCTTCAGCAGAAAAAGCGCTTTCGAATGAGCTGTAATACGATGCATTTGCAAACAATTCACTGAAAAAAGTGTTTTTAGATTCACGGGCAAGGGTATGGCCTGTCAAGTTCATAGAAGAGATTTTCGCGAAATCATCGTAAACTTGAAGTAAGATAGCTCATTCGAAAGCGCTTTTTCTGCTGAACAAGATGCACTAATGGGTTGTGGCAAATTTCCATTCCCTGGGCCTTTACAGGTCCATAAAAGTCCGATTTTGGGTGATTTTACCAACTTTGAAGCTTCATAACTTTTTTCTCCGTTTTATTTAGCAAATTCTGATTACAGATTCGGAATCCCCGTGTCCGATTCTATCAGATCCACTATGTCTCGTGTCGATTTCTCGTGGGCCGGTCGTGCAATTCCCTTGTAAGAACGCTTTAAAATAACACTACAACAGGTTTGAGAAGCCGCTTCGCGACTTTTCAAGCGGCGTAAAGCTAGTTTTTATTTTCCGCGTCCTATACAGGGTGTCCCGATAAGAAAATACCCCATCTAACTCGACCCAGAAGTATCGGATCGACATGATAGTTATACCATTCAAAAGCCATTGAAACGGCGAGTTTGCAACATTCTTCAAAGTTTTTATTTAAACGCGCCATTTAAAACCGTTTCGAAAAAGATTAAGGAATGGCCTCTACATCTGGTTAACCGCTACTAGGGTCAATTTGTATGGTGAAAGTGAGGCTCGCTTGCAACATCGAAAACACCAAAATTCTAAAACATGGATTTTAAAACATCGCGTATTAATAAAAACATGGTTTTGAAGAATGTTGCAAGTTGGCCGTCCCAAGAGCTTTTGAATGGTGTAACTATCATTCCTCAGGTCCTCGGGTCCACCCAAAATCCGGTTGTATGCCACCTGGATTTGGGGTGGAACGCATGGAAATCAGCTGGATTTCGGGTGGACGCACAGGAAATCGAGTGGAAACACGACGCACGGCAAGTGGAAATCGAGTGGAAACCGGGCGGATCCGGTCGATTTCCAACTGATTTGCCGTGCATCCACCCGCAATCCGGTCGATTTCCACATCGAATCCGGTCGCATCCGCTACTGGAATTCCGATCGATTTCGCGAGCAGATGCCGACCGGATTTCGGGTGGACCCGAGGATCTGAGTCCGTGATATTTCTGCGTCGAGTTAGAAGCAGATTTACGCGTAAACGAAAAATAACTTTACGCCGCTTTGCAGGAGATTGGTGGCGTGCTGGTCTATGACGGCAGGAAGTTCAAGATGATCCACCTGATCCCAGTACATCGCTACTACCGCGGTATGCACTTGCTTTACAACAGTGTTGTTTTTTTTATTTTCAGCCCATGAGCATTTCGCTTTTGACTTTGACCAGAAAATGGCTGATGAGCGGGTATTTGTGCACAACGTCAACAAGCCGGTGGACGAAGACTTGAATCGATTAAACGATGCAATTTAAGTTCAAGTTTGGATGGCCGCGACCAACGAAGAGTGCGTCGACTACGTCCACTTCGTCGACATGCAGCAACGTATCGTGAAGTGGAAGTGAAAATGAGTGGTGTCTGTGTGTGGCGTGTGCTTAGTATGTCATTAGGTGCCTCATGGTTTCGGGGTGGCGGCGCACGTCCCAGTGCACGCCTCTAACTCGATGCGGAAGTAACGGATGAAAGCCCTTTAAACGACCAGTTTGCAACAAACTTCAAAACTATGCGTGAATTAAATGCGATTTTTTGCAACCCATTTCATAAAATTTGCAGTTTTTAGGCGCTGCATATTGTTGGCTTAAATTTGTCCAAGAAAAATGGCAAGAACTTGCCGTTACTTAGATGCAGAAGCCATTCCTTAATGTTTTTAAATCCGTTGTAAACTGGCGTGTATAAATGTAAATATGGTTTTGAAATTTGTTGCAAACTCGCCATTTCAAGGGCTTCGAATGGTGTAACTATCTTTGTGATTCGATACTTCTGCGTCGAGTTAGAGTTAGATACTTTTACGACAAAGTGCGATCTCCCGTTCGCCCTCCGAAGTACCACTTTTCACAACGTCACCGACAAAAACAGCCTCCGTTTTAATACTGCTGAATTCAAGTTTCGCTTTATTTTTAAAGTTCGAAGGCTTTGAGGTTTTTCCCTATACAGTTTCGTGTCGATAGGAGTGCCGCGTTGCTTAGGGCCATATTGCCGCTAAATATATAAAAAAATAGTGTCTGTGTGTGTGTGTGTGTATATTTGCATGCAACTTCCGTAAGTATGTACCGCACCTACAGCCTCAGGAGAAGGTTTTTAGGGTATGTTTGATACGTCATTAGATGCGTAATGGTCCCGAGATGGGTGCACACATCTAAAATTTAAGAAAATCGGGTGTTTGCGCTATTAAAATCAAGTTTTTGTAAAGATATCGAGAAACCTCTTTGTTAGGAGGAATTAGCATTGACCGGAAATGGGCGTAGCCTATAAAAAGGGAGGGAGGGTGCGCTTTTCATTTTTTGGTGATCGGCATTCGGCAAGCCCTATGTAAAGTAAAATTATCAGAAGTCCTAGACGGGGCCAGGGTTGAAAAGCCGCGAAGCGGTTTTTCAACCCTGGTTGCCGCTAATTTTGGGTGTGAGAGCGAGATACAGAAGTTGGGGGTCGGCTGGGGGGGGTGAGGGATCCTGAGCATTACCGTCCACGTTATAGGGTCGTTCGGTTCGGGAAATCATGAGGAGGCTCCTTATGTTTTCCCGAGGTATTCCTGTGACAGTAACCGTGCTTTGTAGCTAGGACCGGGACTCTTTGACGATGATGTGGGCGAAACTCCTGGTCTGCTCGAGGTATTTAGGCTGCACCGACTTCCTTTGTGCAAACTTCAACATGATGCGTGGACGCAAAGCCGACTTTGCTCTGCGTCACAGGAAAAAAAAAATTTGTTTTTTTTGCGGAATAATTTTAGGTTTGAGAACCAGTAGCGGGTGTCTCAAAGCTAAGCCATTCTGGCACCTGGAATTACGGGGAAAAAACTTGGCGCCCATCGCTAAAAATTCTCAAAAACATTTTCGCGAACAAAAAAAATAATGAAAGGTGCTGGCTCGGTCCATTTATATAGGTTCGGCCACGTCCGGCGGATGTTAATTTTTCCTAACAAACGAGTGGCCGAGTTTTTTACAAAATCGAAATTTCTTGTCGAAAACAGCTGATTTTGTAGAATTTGCTTTATTTGCAGTCATCTCGGGACCAATCTTGGATTACAGGATGAAGTGGAGCGCGACGAGCAACCCGAAGGCAATTGCTAGGGCCGAAGCCGCGGGATCCGTCGACCAAGCCCAACTCCCACACCCCGGCCGTCAATATCGAATTGCTTACGTGTAAACACCCGATGTGCAGCTAATTGTGATTGCTCTTTCTTTGTATTGCGACAATTTATCGGATAAAAGGTGCATTGGGCTAATTCTCGAGTACCCGGCTCGGAAGTGCAAGCAGAGCTGTGTTTGTTCTTTGGACCCTAAATAAACCTTGCCGTCGCACGAAAAACAGAAAAAAATCCCCTCGGCATTTGGCCGTCTTCTATCCGATCGTGGCCAAATTTTCACCAGTGATGGGGACCCATAAAAACTATGTGCAGCCAAATTTTCTAAGCAAAATATTGTAAACCCAAAAAGTTATCGCAAAAAAACTGCTTTTTGGAAAACGCTGTTACTCGTTTTTGGCTATGTTTTCGCAATTAGCACGCTGATTTTGAGTAATTTTCCGAAAGAAACAAAAATAATTTTTGAAACTGGTAGTAGCATGCTAGTTTTTGATATTTTCCCCATTTTTCGATATTTGGAAGACGCCATTCAATAGACAGTCAAAAAATGTTCTAAAAGTTTTAGCTTCATCCAAAAATAGTGTAATATAAAATGATTATATCAAAAACAAGATTTAAACCTAGTATCCACATGGGAGCATCGAATTGAAAGCTGGTTTTCGAAATTTCGAAAGAGCGTCAAAAATATACAGAGATTTTTAATTACAACGCGGGATCACGTATGGTAAAATAGTTATGGCAAAAAGAAGTAGCTTACCGCAACCCAATTTTTTTTCGTGCGCTCGAGTAGTTCCCTAAGTAATAATACAACCCTCCCCCCCCCCGCCGATAAGCGTCAAGCACCGTAATAAGTACAACCCTTCCCCCCGATAAGCGTCAAGCACCGTAATAGTACAACCCTTCCCCCCCGATAAGCGTCAAGCACCGTAATAGTACAACCCTCCCCCCGATAAGCGTCAAGCACCGTAATAGTACAACCCTTCCCCCCCGATAAGCGTCAAGCACCGTAATAGTACAACCCTCCCCCGATAAGCGTCAAGCACCGTATTTTGTCCACCTCATTGCAAGAATATTTATGCAAGTTTCAGCAGAAAGTGAGGGTACATTCAGCGTGCCAAGCCGTCATATCACAGATCGCAGAAGGGAAGCTCTCACGGGAATTACGAAAAAAAATCACAAAATATTGATCGTGTGGCTGGATACTGTACATTGGGAGAGATAAGACCCGTTCGTTCGATGCGAATCGTTAATTCTAGGTGGGAATCACAGCTCTGGGATGTAGTGTCATTTGGTGTTCAGCGTACTAGTCCTGCTACGGTACTTTGTCGACGTCAGGAGGGGACTCGTCTACCCGTACGGGCTATCACAGCTACACCGGCAGCGCAGCTTCACCATCACCCGCACGTCCGTCTGGTACTTTGGCATACTGTAATCGGGTCATGGGTTAGATTTTTTGTAGTTTTTGGACGTTTTTAGGAATAGTACATTTTCTTTTGCATTATCGGGGGGGAGGGGCAGGAAATTTTCCGCTAAATTCAGATATGCGTAGAAACGTAATAGACAGACTTTAACTGTATTTTTAATCGAGTTTAAACTAGTATTAGTTTTTGCGTCAAAAAAACTCTTTCTTTTGTAGCTTTTTACTCGAAACTTTGTGGTTCTTAAGCTAGGAATACCACTGAAAGCGCGGAGAAACCCCCCCCCCCCCCCGATAACGGAAAAGCACCAAAAATCCAAAATTTTGGCTTTACATACCTGACGCTGTTGACAATCCCTTGATTCACATAGTAAAAAATGCGATTCACCAAGTCGGCCTCGCCAAGGAATTCGTAGTCTGGAAAATACGTGATAAGGCAATGGAGAAATTGGCTTATTGAGCTTAGGCTTGCTTAGGATTAAGTTCAAGCTGCTTCTTAGGTTAGGCTAGGTTTAGGCTTCGGCTGAGGCTTAGGCTTGGGCGTAAGCTCTAACCTAAGTTCAGGTTCGTCTTAGGCTTAGGCTAAAGTCTGGGCAGGTTTAAGCCTAGGCTTGCATACATATTTAAGCGTTTAAGGTACTCACTTGAGTGTTGACTGTCAATGTAGATGGCGGGCACGTACTGTGTACATTGGTTCGTGTCGTAGCCGGTGATCGTCACCGCCGTCGTACGATCCAGCCGCCCCACCGGCACCCAACCGTACCTAAAAGTATAAATTTTAGTGTTTTCAACTATTTAGGCGTTTGAAACATTTTCTACGATGATTTGACACCGAAACTCACCGAAAATTGTGGGCCTCCTCATCGGCTGGCGTGTAGGTGAGCACCCGACTCTTGGCCAACACCTGCTGGTCGGTCGTGTTGAAGATCTGGTTGTTGACTGAAAAAACCCGGGCTTAAAGGGGATGGACACCTAGGGATAAACTCAAAAACTCGGCTAACTACGTACTACAACTGCATCTAAGGCTGGTTACTACAAGCCGCAACCACTTACAAATATACGAGCCGACGACGTTGCCGCTCGGGTCCATGGTGGCTTTGCCCCAGACGGGTCGCCCGTTGGTGGGGTACCTGAAAATATCAGATGTTCCCATATTCACCAAGCCTAAGCCCAAGCTTAGGTCTAATCCTCGGCCTACGCCTAAGCCTAAGCCTAAGCTTAAGCCGAAACCTAAGCCTAGGCCTCGAGCCAACCCAAAAACCCACCAAAAAGTCACAAATTCCGTCTTCATCCCGTCGTCATGCTTCAGTGGATGGTTCATCGGCATCACCTGGAAATTTTACCGGTTTGTTTGAACAGATTCAGCTATATTTTTTAGTGTCACTGCTTACTTAAAACCCGTACCTCATCGCCGAGTGATCGAGTGCCGAGCGCCCGATAGAGACGCGCCGAGATGAGACCGTTCATCTGAAATTCAGGATTCATGCGGACGGGCCCCGTGGAGCTTACAAAGTTGCCATCGACGGGTGCCTTGGGCTGGATGAAGTCGCGGAGAGTTAGGCCGGAAGCGCTAAAATAGGTTTTATTAGGGTCAGGATTAGGCTTAGGCTTAGGAAAAGGCTTAGGGTATGCCTCGACTCAGTTCGGCTTAGGCTTAGGCAGAGACCTGGGCTTAGGCGTGGGCTTAGACACAGACTTAGACTTTGCTTAGGTTTAGGTAGGCTTTGACTAGTCTAGTCTTCGGCTTAGGTTTCCTCACTATTCTATGCCAGCTTACCTCGGCGTCATCCCGGATCCTTCCAAAACCACCGTATTCGCATCCGGAACCACTGGTGTCGGTCGATTTGTCGGGATGATCACCGGAGCCCCAGTCGGAGTGGTCCCGCCTGGAAGACTACGGTATTCTGGGCACGCTTTAGGAAATATCAACGCCAAAAACCAGAAGCCAAGCCGGGGAGCGTGATTAGACGATACCAAACCCAACAAGTAAAACCGAAAGAACCAAGGCTGGGTGAGCGAAAACCGAGGGAGGGGGATTACTGTACTTTTCTCGTCGCCGCCAAAAATCGAGGTTTTCGCGGTGGAAAACCAGTTGCTGACTGTGTCCCAGACTTAATGGAGCAGATTTAGAGGATTTTGGAAGTTGGAAAGTGTACTGTAAGCTCAGAAAAGCATACCCCCAGGACTTCGCGGTATCCGGATGGCGCTCGGATCGGGGCGTAGCTGAAAATTGAGAGTTAGTTTGGGTGGTAAAATTCGTAACTGTCCGCAAATAATCCCTGCTAGCCTGCTCCCAATCCCACCAATTCCACAAAGGATCTCTGCTAGCTTGCCCTGACCCACGAATTTCGCATTGAATCACTGCTAGCTTGCCCTCAGCCCACCGGTTCCGCAAAGGATCTCTGCTAACTTGCCCTCAACCCGCCATTTCCACAAAGAATCCCGGCTAGCCTGCTCCCAATCCTTCCAATTCCGCAATGAATCACTGCTAGCCTGCCCTCAACCCTCCAATTCCGCAAAGAATCTCTGTCAGCTTGCCCTCAAGCTTCCAATTCCTCAAAGAATCTTTGCTAGCCTGCCCCAATCATTCCAATTCCGCAAAGAATCCCTGCTAGCCTGCTCCCAAACCCGCAAATTCCGCACAGAGTCGCTGCTAGCTTGCCCTCCTCCCACCAATTCCGCAAGGAATCACGGCTAGCTTGCCATAAATTCGGAAATTCCTCGAGGAATCACTGCTCGCCTGCCCCAATCATTCCAATTCCGCAAAGAATCTCTGCCAGCCTGCCCTTGATCACTTCAATCCGCAAAGAATCAATGCTAGCTTGCCCTTAACGCTTCCTTTCCCTAAGAATCCATGCTAGCCAGCCCCCCGGCTACAAACCTCAATCCTGTCATGCGGGTCGATCAATGGTATCCGGTCTCCATACATCATATTCACTCCCTCAACCGCCCGCCACAACAAAAACATGCAAATCAGGCAGCGCATCGTTTTCTCAGGATCTTGAGCTCTGAAATTTACAGTTTAAACCCAAGAAAATGCGAGCTTCATCGAGAAACAGATACGTTTAGAGGAGCATCACGGAATTGACGGCCCCCCGGAATCACCCCGGGCATGCGTGCGATAACAAAAATTGCGAATCGGCGGAAAAGCGAAAGTTTTTTGCTGGGAAATTTGTGTTTTATTTTGATCCCGAAATTTTGGGGATTTTGTAGAAAAAAATAAAGTTTAGTCAGAAAATAAAAAATCGTAAAATTAAGAAGTCAAAAATCGCAAAAAATAGGTTTTTTGACAGCTTTGATAATAGACATTTTTATATATAAGTTTCATGTAAATGTAACGATTTTTCATACAAAATTTACTCAAAAAAGTCTATAAACTCGTTAAAAACCTGAAATAACGCTTAATAAAATTAAAAGCGAGATTTTTCTAAAAATAATATTTAATTGCGTGAATTTTGACGTTTAAGAATTTAAAACAATTAAAAATACAAGAAATAGCTCATAACAGTATTGGAATCTTTCTATTGACACAAAAACTCTGTATTTTTCGTGAAAATCGATAAGCGATAATCCGCTTTTCAGCCCCACCGCGCCCAAAAAATAGAATACGAACTATCTCCCCCAATGGAGCCCATATTTCCCTTTTGAAAAAGTTTGAAAAACGTGACACATCAATTTGCCTAGAAAAGGGGGATGCAAAACAATTTTTTCCGCGGCTTGGGAGGCACGAGGGAGCGCGGAAAAAGTTGGCCGTATGGACTTTGATGAATAGGAAAAATAGAGAAGAGGGCATTGGGATAATAAAAATAATAACAAGACTTTAAAAACTATTAAAAATATTAATAAAAACAATAAGAAAATTATTGGGAAGATCCGGAAGCTAGCAGAGATTATTTGAGGGACTTTAAGAAAGTAGGCTGAGGCTTGGGCTTGGGCCTAGACTTGGGCATGGCTTAGGCTTGGCTTAAGCTTGGCTTTGGCTTGGCTTAGGCTTAGGCCTAGCATAGGATTAGGCTTACGCTTAGGCTTAGGTTAAGGCTTAACGAAAGGATTGGGCTTAGGCTCAGGCTTAAGCAGGCTTAGGTTCAGGCTTAAGCGCTTCGTGTTCGGCTTGGGCTTAAGCTTAGGCTTACTTACAGAAATTCGGCAACATGAAAATTATTTTAATTAATCGAAGAGTCAACCCAGCAGATACTTTTGAGAAACTACTAGATATGGCAAGCTAGCAAATACCATTTGAGAGGTCTCTGAGCCCGACAAGAGAATGAAAGCGCCTTTCCACACGCCGTCCCTCGCATTGTGTTGATATTTATTGGGCACGGTGCCCAGTGGTTGATACGGTATGTCTGTCTGTATGGGTCTGGAGGGGGATTGTCTCGAGAAAAGGATCATGATCAACTACGACAATGGCCAGACAACACCTCCACGTCTCGTGCCAATGACACATAGACACACTGTTTCTTCAGAATTCCACGGAAGGGTGTTTCTTTGCTTCTGGCCTGGCACGCGCTATCTTGCTTGTAGTCTTAAAGGGGTTGGCAAAGCAAGGTGAGTGAGGCTAGCTAGCAGAGATTATTGAGGAGTACAGGATTCCAGGCTATCGAGATATTTTTCTCTATATCTCTATTTCTCTTTTTCTCTCACTCTTTCGCTCACACTCTCGCTCTCTTTCTCTCTCGCCATCACTCGCTTTCTCTCTCTCTCTCTCTCTCTCTCTCTCTCTCTCTCTCTCACACACACGCTCGCTATCTCTCTATCTCGCCTTCTCTCGTCTTTCAAAAGGCTTTAAATTAAACATTCAATTACGGCATAAAAATCCATATTCGCTAGTGGCGCCGCTGACTAATTGTAAATCGCCCCATAAATGGCGTGAAAATGGACTAAATTTGATATGCAAATGAGTCATAGAGCGGGGCTGATAAGGGATCCACTAGACAAAGATGGAGCGAGACAGAGAGAGAGAGAGAGAGAGAGAGAGAGAGAGAGAGAGAGATAGAGAGAGCGAGAGGGAAAGCGCGAAAAGACGCGTAGCCTGTACTAAAACGGAATTCCCTGACCACCACGTTTCTAAATTCCCTCCGGCAATAAACAAAATATTTATTGGGGGAAGAAAGAGAAGAGGCTCTTACCCATGCCCTTCACCCGTCAACAATCGAGACAGCGTATTTTAGAATGGACCCCCGCCGGCCAGACAGGCATTGTTGACCTGAACGACCCACGCTGGTTTTTGGAGTTCATCTACAGGGCAATGAAAGGGCGTGGAAGGAATGAGGAAGAAGGCTCGTTTAGGCTTAGGCGTAGGCTCGGGGTTAGGTTTAGGCTTGGGCTTAGCAATGGGCATAAGCTTAGGTTTAGGCTTCGGCTTACTTGGGCTTAGGTTCGGCTATGCTTGGCTTAGGCTTAGGCATGGCACGGCGTTTCAGAGCGCGCACGGGAGGGGTGGTCGAGGCGTGGTGTAGTGGTCTAAGGCGGCGGTCCAGCCCCGAGACAGGGGGTGCGGGTTCGATTCCCGAGGCCGCAAACCTCTGCGTTTTCTTTTTGCTTTTTGCTCCAAATGTTCATAAAGGAATTCCGTAACCCTATAAACCCAAAAAAAGCTGGCTAGCACCTTCTCTCCATGCGGAATAGGCCAGTAAAGATCGTAAGCCGATCGCACCCTCTTACAGGACCCATTCGCTAAATTTCGGCGCTGGGCTATTCTAAAACTAGGTGTAAAAGATAGAGGAAGGTCTGCTCTTAGTTCCTAGTCTGCTAGTAGATTCGAAAACCGTCATAAACAAAAGTTATAGCTAATTGAAAACTTCAGAAAACATTGAACTGGAATCGTCGCGTAAATTTTTAAAACCCCAAGTTGACGCAATATTGGGTAGTTCATGACAGATACTCTTCCAGAAAATGTAGTTGAGGCGTTTGAGCCAGTATTTAGCTGGATTTGAGCTCAGACGATAACTTGCACCTCATTTTTCAAATTTCATACCATCAGAAGTCGCGTTTTCAACGCTCGATTTTGACAAAACCAGTATTAAAAGATAGAGCAAAGTCTCTTCTATCTTTTGAGCGGTCGCTCAAATTAAGAAAACTGCCGTATAAAAAAGTTACAAAGGCTTGAAAGCGCAGAAGACAGACACCCCTTTGCTTTAAGAACCAATTACGCGTCGATTGGAGCGTGCCGTAGCCTAGCCCCGCCTTCCCCTCTCATGCGCGTTTTTCTTAAAGGATGAATCGCCGTGATGGGCTTAGCTTAGGGTTAGGCTTAGACTTTACAGAAATTCTTTAGAAGACCCCTACACAGCCAACCCACTCCAAAAAGCTAGCATAACCTCTTGAGGAAGCGCAAATAGCAGGGCAAGCTAGCAGAGACCATTTAAGAAATCAAGGTGCCCAGGCAAGCTAGCAGAGACCACCTGCGGAATCGTAAAATTTGGTTAAAAACCCCGGCGACAAAATGATAAACGTGACGCCGGGTGTAGCGGGGTGAGGAAAAATTGAGTCAGCGCGGCTGCGACGGGAGAGGGGGGAGACACCCCAACCGTCGGCTGAACGGAGCTATAATCTGTACAAACACGAAAAGTGGGCATGGAATCGGGGGAGCGGACACAGCGGTTGGGCCGATTCTTGGCCGGTATTAGTGGCAAAACATTTGGAGTTGTCAAATGGTCTCTGCTAGCTTGCCCAACAGAATCGGTAGTTATGTTTAAGCTTGGGTATAGAATTGGCCGTAGACTTAACTAGGCTTAACTAGACTAGGCTTGGCTTATCCCTAGGTTTAGGCTTGGGGTTTAGGCTCTAGCTTAGGCTTAGGTAGAATTAGGCTTGAGTTTAGGCTTATGCCCAGGATTGGGTGAAGCTTAGGCTCAGGCTCACGCTTAGGCTTAGACTCAGGTTTACGCTCAGGAACGGCTGAAACTTCTGATGATGTTAGGCTCAGGCTATGGCCAAGGTTAGGCTTAGGCTTCGTTTTAGGCTTAGCTTAGGCTTGCGCCTCGACTTTTCTAGCCAACAAAAATAACAAAGTCCACCCAAGTTTTAGAATCCCAAAATGAGCACCAGCCACCCCAACCCGAAGTCAATAATCGGTGCGTGGAGGGTAGAGATAGATCTGGGGCGATTGAATAGAGATGGAAAGGGTGAGAGGGTAGAGAGAAAGAGAGCGATTTGCATGGGAGAATGCAGACAGGTTATGCTCATTCCCCTCCACAGGTACCTCCAGCCCAACTATATGGATGGTTGTAAATCGGTGGGTCCAGATTATAGGGGTCGATAATTCGGGATGGATAGCCGGGGGCAAAGAGCGATTTTTGTGACGCGGGCAGGCTAGCAGAGATCATTTGAGGGGAGGTGAGCTAGCAGAGACCATTGAGGAAAGGAGCAGCAGCAAAAATATCTAATGCTAAAGGGGGAAGAGGCAGGCTAGCAGAGGCAATTTGGGAGGAGGCAGCGCAGGACCAACTAGCAGAGAACATTTGGGGAACCGAAATCGAAAGCACAGACGAGCAGGGACAATTTTAGAGCCCAAAAAGGACTGGGGACGCTAGCAGGGACCATTTAGGATACCAAAATCGACAAGGCAAGCTAGCACATAATTTAACATGCTGAAATCGGCAAGGAAAACTAGCAGAGAACACCTAGGAGGCTGAAGCGGGCTGGGAAAGCTAGCAGAGACAATTCAGGAAGCTGCGATGATAAGCGCGACTCGGAAAGCTTAAAAGACCAAAAATCTGGTTATTCAGATGTAGCCACGCCTCGTTTTGTACATATCACGTTCCGGATTTTACGTGTCGATGGTATGGATCGTAAAAGCGGAGGGACACGCATGGGAAACCCTCAAAAGGGCCCTTTCCGGGAATCCAGCAATATCGAAAAACGTAATAGCATATGAATTCTGAAGCCGGTGACTAATATGGGAACCAATGGAGCTAGAAAAGAACGACGACTTGAACGGCAGGCTAGCAGAGATCATTGGGGATCGAGACGCGGTTGCCACGA